GGCCAGTGAGTATATTTCTAGAATTTATTGTCGGTTTATTGACATATAGGACTAGCTGCTGCTAAAGTTAACAGTGCCTGGTAACTTGAGTTAGGTGAAGAGTTTGAGGTTGTCTGGTGGGCATATGCTGTTGACAGAATTCATTCAAGTTCACTATGTGCTCGGCTTTCACTCCTACAGTTTAAAATACTGCAGGGTTCATTACTTCAAAGCTTGGCTCTCAAGATTTATTCTATATTGTAGATGACAAGTGTGACAGATGTCACCCTGTAGTCTGAATCACATGTTTTTCTTCTGCACAGTACTTCAAAACTACTGGATAAATTCTTTCAGAAACCATGTCCATGTTTGGTACCATATTCAAATCAAAGTGGATTTCTTCCCCCTTCACAGCAATCTTCAGTGTTCCCAAGTTTTGGACCAGTTTATATCTAAACAGTTAGGAGGTACTCGCCCTTACTTCTTTATTGGCTAGACGATGGATTTTATTTCATCTGAAAATCTATAACCTCCAGGTATTTCACAGTGAATACCATGTACTTTTTAAAAATAGAAAACATAAGATGTTCTTAGAATGCCAGTTATTGGTCTTTTTATGTTAAATCCTTAACTTGGAATTATAAGGCTCTATTTGCGTTCTGAATGACTTTGAGATATTGAGCTTCAAAGTTTTTACATTCCATATAGCAAACAGTATGTGTGTAACATTTGTGTTTAAATAAAAAGTCTTAAAATGTAAATAACTTATAAAAAACATCCAATAATGTAAATAAGTTGTCATTTAATAAGAATATGTCAATGACTCAATTTTGATTGTCATATAGAACCTTATAAATCTAAGGTGACGAAATGGCATTCCTTTATAACTTAATTTCACTTGCTTCTAAGTTTGAATGCATTTACATAAATCTATGACCCATCACCTCTTCCAACCTTTTTGTTCCCTTTGCTACTTTTAATAATATTGTTTTGTTATTTATTCATTCTTTTGTTTTGTTATGTTTTTTTACATGTACTATTGCTATTCAATCACATTACTTATTATTTTTTTATCATTTATGCGATATTTATTCATTTTTACTATTTTGTCTTCTCAACAAAACGTTTAAAAGAAAACGTGGAAAGTCTTTCACTACGTCTGTCATTTCAAGCATTTATGTACGTTTTACTTAAAAACAAAAAATAAAATTTAAAATACAAATTTGTGATAAAAATGTTAAAATAAAAAATCACTACACATGAAAAACTAAAATTAAGCAAAATGAACAGCTGTCAACTGAAATATAATTAAATTTAGCAAAAAATTATTATTTTCAGATTTCATGAGCACTCATTCTATGGCATAAATATGACCTGAGGTTGGTTGGTTGCTTCTTCATTTGACCAAAAAAAAAAAAAAAAAAAAAAAAGAAGTAGGCATGTTTGACTACAAACATGATCCTAAATGACATAAATTTTACATTTATCTGTTTCATTTGCATTTATGATTTTGGGTTCAGTGTCTGTTCAAACAAATACTTTATTTCAAAAACTAAAAAGTTTGCGTAAAAGGTAATGTGCAAATATTAAACTGTGCTTTGGTTCACACGTTATCTCTTAACTCTGCCAAACTAGAATGACTCAAACTGAAAGTAAACATAAAAACAGAGTATAAATGAGCTCACAAAATAAAAACTAAACTTCACAAAACCATTAAAGAAATGAAATCAATTAAAAGCAAAACTATAATCACGTTTCTCTGGTCTACTTTTAAGCTGTTTAGTTGATTCAGGTATGCAAGATGGGTCAGACATATGAAAAAGTGGTGCTCAAGGTCATCATAGACTAAAAAAATGTTTGTTGAAACTACTTAAAATGAGCAGAAACAACACAATTCTTCAGTTTTTTAGGGACAATGTAATTGTTTAATGCTCAGTCCACTTGTAAGTTTATAAGTTACTTTAACTTCTTCATGTTGTCACAACCCAAACTGATTGTGTGAAACCGAACATTCACGATTTTGGTATTACTCAAGTCATTTAGTTCACCTGAATAAGTGAAAAGCAATATCAAACAGGGAGTGTGCCAAAAGGATTGCACTTTGGCATTGTTTGTGCCTGATGTTTACTAACCGTTTAACCCTTATCAAACTGGCAGCACAAGTACTAATGCAAATATTTATTCTGAACTCTCTCATCTCGCCATTGCGTGTGCATCAGTTGAATGCTAATTGTTACAGAACATTATGGGATTGAATGAGTGCACTCAATAACATCTACAAAACTATATTTTCAGATACTACTACAAATGGCTGTCCCTGCAAATAGTGCCCTACAGGGTAAAGGCGATTTCATTAAAAAAAAGAGCCCAGTTTGTATTAGCACTCTGGGCAGTGTCAGTGTCAGTTTATAATTACAATGTAGATTTGGAGCATTGAGCAGCAGAGCCAATCAAAGGCAAATCTGCTGATCACTCATGCTGAAAAAAAAGAAGTATATGCTGATAAGGTTTTGATACATGGCTGCTGGTTTAAGTTGGTTCTTGATGTTTTTACTGGTCCCAAGATGGTCCCAAGCAGAACACAACCAGCTCATGACCAGCAAAATCCAGCTTTAACCAGCATCTATATGCCCTAAACCTACCTTAAACCTGCCGTTTTTTTAAACTCTTGAGTGCAATGGCCAAAATGAGGAGTTTAAAGGCATTTATTTTGTCATCATACACTCACCCTCCACTTTTCCTAAACTTTTATAAACAACTTTAGTGAGAGTAAATGTTTATTTTTAGGTGAACTACAGGCAGAATCCTCTCACTGCTCAAAACAATGAAGTTTTCGAAGAGTACAAATCCTCTCATCATAACAAACTGTAAATACAATATCAGTGTGCAGTGTGGACAGCTTTATAAATAATAGCAAATGTTTAATTTTGCAATGATCTATGCTTTCTCCTTGCACACTTTCTTTTGTATAATAATGTCAGAATTCAAATATACCTACTGATGGATTCACTCTTGAAACCAATTGACTCAGCAGTAATCATTTTTTAAAGACTGCCACTTGCCATTGGAGTGTGTTCAATGTTAGTTTATAGAGTAAGAGTGGAGCAAAGGAACTGCTGGTGTGATTTAGTGGAGCCAGAAGTAATTGGCATATTCATATAAGTGTAAATTACCTCAGGTATAAGGGTGTAGAGAAGGGCTATCCAGTGCAGGGTTGGACAATGAAACTGAAACCCTGGTAATTTTATAAGCCTGACGGCCAAACCTTTTGTGTGTGTACTATACATATGTTATATATATATATATACACATATATAACATATGTATATATGTTGTGTCTGGTTCTTAAACCTGATTGGCTGATAGCTGTGCAATATTCTACAATATCAGCACTCGTACAGCGTCTTCACCTTCCTGTATTAGGCCAAATCCCAATTCTACCTATTAGCCCTTCCCCTTACCCCTTTCCTACATTTTGCACGTTCCTGTGAAGGGGTAGAGGTGTCCCAATTCTTTTTATCTTGAAGGTGTAGGGCTAAGGGGAAGGGGGTGAATACCACTTTAAACTAAGATTTTTCAGGACTACACTCGAAACCAAGGGGTAAGAAAATTTCCCAGAATACACCAGCCACAACAGCAGGATATTTGCACCCGGAAGTACGGAGATCCACAAATTAGTATTTTTTGTCATTATTGCGAATTTTTACAACAAACAAGCACATGTTTTAATACATTTATAACCGCATACCTGTTTTACAGTCATGCTTTAAAAAAAACCCTGCTAAAATAAAAACTGCTAAATTTCGCTATCTTTAATCCATAATCATAACTCCTATACAGCAGTCCCACAAGATACTGACACTCGATGACACTGGAATACCCTGTGGGAAAAGTCTAGTGGGTGGGAATGAGCTTTTTACAGTGTCTGCTATAATGTTAATGTTGTTTTGGTGTGTTTACATAGATGATTATGGCCACTGTGTAAATACACAGTACAGTTACTATCTTATTGCCACATTAGATCGCTATGATAACATAATACACGCCTTCAGTGATTTCTTGAAGATAAATACAAAAAAATAAAGCAACTGGAATAACTACAGCAGTCGCGATCGTCTGATCTCATATGAAGCATGAGATTGCGATGACATATGATGACATGTGCAGGTGCTGTCCCAATTCTTAGGGGTAAATATTGAAGCCCTTCCTCTTTGCACTCTGTTTTAAGAGCCAAAGGTAAGGGGTGCAAAAATAGAACTGTGATTGGGCCTTACTCTGCCCACATAATGACAGCAGATCAATAAACCCACTTCAGTTTGACAAATATTGCAACTGTTAGGCAACATAATTTACTTGTGAGGCTTTTTTAGGTGAGAATATAGTTCTTTAGATTGCATTTGTGCAGTTTATTTAAAGATACTGCCTATTTTAAATATTAATAATTTCAGAGACTCAGTACATCGGTGGTCAGCCAGCCAAACTGAAAAGAGCAAAGATGCTTGACGTTTCGCCACAAGATGACAACAGAGAGCAATTACATCAGAGAAATACTTGGAAAATCTCTGTAGACTGATGGCATTTCATGCCATTCAGCTTTATAATCTTAAAATGTGAGTAAAATCATCTGTTTTGTCATCGCTTTAGATATTACACAAGAGAATCATTCAAATACTAGCTCTGACATGACGCTGGGGAAGTAGTATGAATGACAGAAGTAGTTCCTCATACAAAGGGGTTTTGAGACACTCTGTGTTTGATTTCTTTTTATATATACACGATTATGCCATCTAACTGTTGTATAAATGCAATATCGCACTCGTAGCAGTGCGATATGTCTGCATATCGTCACTGGTGGCACACTTAAAGGCACTCGACCTGTGGCCTCAAGCCAACACAAACCTCCCACTGGGCCGATATACAGCCATATCAGACTGCTACGAGTGTGATATTGCTCATACATAAGCATTGCCATTAATTTCTGAAAATGTTGCTAATAAAAATGCATTAAAGGTACAAAAGCATTTTATGAAGAAAAAACATTTCTGTTTATTTGTATGAAGACTTTTTTTTAAACGTAAAAGACCATTTAAACACAAACAGGATCTTGTTGGCCATTTAGCGATTTATGTACCATTTTACATATCATTACTTGTTTTACTTACAATATTCTATGTAATGACAAATGAATAGCGATAAATAAATAAGCATATATAGTGTCTGTTCATACTTTCACAACAGTGACTTCATATACAGACAAAAACAAAGGTGATGGCCAAGGGAAATAATCAAATATTAATACTTCATGTCTGATCTAGCCTACAACAATCATCTAATGTTGTATACATCAACGCAAGTGCATGTGTCTACTGTTGTGGGAGGATCTGTGAGAAATGGGTTTACATCACTTAGAGTGTATTTAAGAAATCTTTACCATTTCCCCCATAATACCTGAACCTTTACCTTTCAGTGTTCCTTTATACTGCAGCCATCATCATCATCATCATCATCATCATGTCTCCACTCGACCTCACCTGTGAGAATGACAAGATCATTTCTAAACTTCACATCAGAGCTAATCTTGTACTATAAGGAACCTTCAGTGTCCCCTCAAAACTCCTTTTTAGTTCAAAGTTTGACTCCAGTCCCGAGATAAAACAACACCACCTGTCTCTCAGTGGACCAACTCCAGCTGACTGGCAGAAAAGGGCAGAACGCCGCTAACATAGTAAGCAATGCCCAGAGATAGCAGGGCGATGACCACCAGCAACAGCAGGACCCTCCAGAAGCCCAAATCCTCAACGAACTCTTGCCAGGTGGAGCGGAAGCTGGACAGCACACCCTCACTGTTCTGCAGGTTTGGGTTCAGCAGCGAATGGCTCTCCATTGCACTGGAAACCACATAGTGTTGAGTTAGCAAAAGAAGTGCTGACACGTAATAAATGCTGCACTTAAAATGAAGTTTGCTTGTTGTTCAAACTACTTATTTAAATGAGCTGAATCAACACAATTCTTGAGTTTTTTTTTGGGCACAACTTAATTGGTTTATGTTGAATGCACTTAAATTTGTAAAGACAATTAAGTTACTTAATTGATTTGTCTTGGGACAACATGAAGGAAATGTGTGGAACCCAGAATTTTTTTACAGTGTGATTGGAGGGAATCTCACCTCTCGCTCTCAGCCATCTGCATGGCTTCTAGTTTGGAGTGAGCTCCTCTGTTGAAGCCTTTGACCTCTTGCTCTTCTAGACCTTCCAGCAGCCGGATGGCATCTTTATTTACCCCTCTCCTCTTGGCCAGCACGAGTGGGGTCGAGCCGTTGTGGTTACTGCTCAAATGCAGGAGAACAAATGGGAAGTTAAAAGTCAGATTAAAAAAATACTAATTATCTAAAATAAAATATTAATTATTAACTATATGAAACTGTTAAACATTTTATTTCTGTTTAATAATAATAATAATAATAATAATAATAATGAGTGGCTGTCAAAAACTTTAGGTATGGGTACTATGGTAAAGAAAATAATGCCATGCAAATTATTATTAAAACTATTAATATGATAATAATAAATAAATAATAATAATAGTAATAGCTGGCATCACAGTGGCACAGTGGGTAGCATAATCGCCTCACAGCAAGAATGTCGCTGGTTTGAGTCCTGGCTGGGTCAGTTGGCATTTCTGTGTGGAGTTTGCATGTTCTCCCAGTGTTGGCGTGGATTTCCTCCGGGTGTTCAGGTTTCCACCACAGTCCAAACATATGTGCTATAGGGGAGTGTATGTGTGTGAATGCAAGAGTGTATGGGTGGTTCCCAGTGATGGGTTGCGGCTGGAAGGGCATCCACTGCATAAAACACATGCTGGATAAGTTGGCGATTCATTTCGCTTTGGCGAGCCCAGATTAATAAAGGGACTAAGCCAAAAAGAAAATGGATGAATGAATTTATATAAATAGTAGTAATACTACTACCACTACTACTACTACTACTACTAATAATAATGCTTCATTTTGCCCTGTAAACCAGTAAATGCAAATTTGTCCAATCCTTAATGTAATATGGGCAAAAAACCGAAGTCAATCTTATATCATGTTCATACATTCAGGTTTAAGAGGCAATAGTACATTACAATTACCAAAAAAAAAAAAGAAAAAAATGTATGGGACAGTAGGCAAATGGCAAATAAAATAAAAAAGAATGTATTGATTTCTAATTTTATTTTTACTTGTATTTGATTGCAGACAATATAAACAGAAAATATTCATGTTTTGTCTGGTCAACTTCATTTCATTTGTAAATATACATCCTTTCCTGTCATTCAGACCTGCAACACACTGCAAAAAGAGTTGGCACAGGAGTAATTTAGGGCTATCAATCAGGTAAATTGGTTAAATAATAATTTGAAACAGGTGATGCCAACAGGTGATTGTAATTATGATTGGTACAAAAGCAGCATCCAAGAAAGGACTAGTCCTTTAGGAGCAAAGATGGGCCGAGGATCACCAGTTTGACAAAATTATTCAATGTTTAAAAACAATGTTCCTCAAAGAAATATAGTAAAGACTTTTGGATATTTCACCTTCAACATTGCATTACATCTTTAAAAGATTAAAGGAATCTGAAGAAATTTCAGTGTGTCAAAGACAAGTGAGCAAGCCTAAGCTGAACAACCATGATCTCCGATAACTCAGGCGGCGCTGCATCAGGAATCCTCATTCATCTATAAGCAATATCACTACATGGGCTCAGGACTACTTAAGCAAACCTTTGTGAAGTACCACAATACATAGTTACATACACAAATGGGAGTTAAAACTGTATTGTGCCAAAAGGAAGCCCTATATTCACAGTGTCCAGATGCGCTGTCAAATTCTGGGTTCGGAGGATGAATCATTACACAGTGGAAACATACTGTGGTGAGATGATTCTGCATTTCAGGTCTTTTTTTTGGGAGACCACTCATTTATGCTGTAAATTGAAGCCTTTAGACCAGGGGTCACCAATCTCGGTCCTGGAGGACCGGTGTCCCTGCAGGGTTTAGCTTCAATTTGCCTCAACACACCTGCCTGGATGTTTCAGGAATACCTGGTAAGACCTTGATTAGGGTGTGTAGGTGTGTTTGATTAGGGTTAAAGCTAAAATCTGCTAGAAACCGGCCAGGAACAAGTTTGGTGACCCCTGCTTCAGCCCATTGTAAAAATACACTTTATCATCAATTATCTAAAAAAGTAAATAAATTATGGCACATCTCACCAAATATCTATTTTGAGGCCATTGGAGACGAGGAACTGAATGGTGTCCACGTGCCCGCACAGGTGCAGCGCCGTGTTGCCCTGATAGTCAGTGGCCAGTAGGTCTGCCCCAAACTTGTGCAGGAATCGGCAGATGTCCACATTACCCCGCGCCGCTGCCAGATGAAGACCCGTGCGGCCTCGGTGGTCCCGGATGTTGGGGTCACAGCCGGTCTCCAGCAGACGCCTGGCGAAACTCAGGTCCCCATCAATACAAGCCTGCAGGAGCGGGACACTGGTCTGCGACGAGTCATTGATGAAGACATAGGACATGTCCGAGTCGGTCTCCGAAAATTCCAGCGTAACTGAGAAAAACAACAATGAGGTGACTCTAATGAAGCTTGGATTTCACTTCAGAACAACAAAGATTTTGGGTTATAAAGGTTTGTTTTCATTTGGGCAGCACACCTCTGTATTATACAATACTGTAATTTAATCGCTGAGAGTAATTTAAATAACACTGACTAACCCACATACCATACACTAACGGGCCACTTTATTAGGTACACCTAACTAGTACCGGGTTGGAACCCCTGTTGCCTTAATCCTTCGTAGCAGGTACTGGAAATATTCCTCAGAGATTTTGCTCCATATTGACGTGATAGCATCATGCAGTTGCTGCAGATTTGTAGGCTGCACATCCATGATGCAAATCTCCCGTTCCACCACATCCCAAAGGTGCTCTATTGGATTCAGTTCTGGTGATTGTGGAGGCCATTTGAGTACAGTGAACTCATTGTCATGTTCAAGAAACCAGTCTGAGATGATTTACGCTTTATGACATGATGTGTATCCTGCTGGACGTAGTCATCAAAAGATGAGTACACTGTGGTCATAAAGGGATGGACATGGTTAGCAACAATACTCAGGTAGGCTGTGGTGTTGACATGATGCTCAGTTGGTACTAATGGGCCCAAAGTGTGCCAAGAAAATATCCCCCACACCATTACACCACCACCAGCTGCCTGAACCAGTGAAACAGGGCAGGATAGATCCACGCTTTCATGTTATTGATGCCAAATTCTGACCCTACCATCTGAATGTGGCAGCAGAAATCGAGACTCATCAGACCAAGCAACGTTTCTTCAATCTTCTTCTGTCCAGTTTTGCTGAGCCTGTGTGAATAGTAGCCTCAGTTTCCTGTACTTAGCTGACAGGAGTGGCACCCGGTGTGGTCTTCTGCTGCTGTAGCCAATCTGCTTCAAGGTTGGACGTGTTGTGTGTTCAGAGATGCTCTTCTGCATCTCTCGGTTGTAACGAGTGGTTATTTTAGTTACTGTTGCCTTTCTATCAGCTGGAACCAGTCTGGCCATTCTCCTCTGACCTCTGGCATCAACAAGGCATTTGTGCACACAGAACTGCCGCTCACTGGATATTTTCACTTTTGCAACCATTCTCTTTCAACCCTAGAGTGTGTGAAAATCCAGTCTGTCTGGCACCAACAACCATGCCGCATTCAAAGTCATTTAAATCAGCTTTCTTCCCCATTCTGATGCTGAGCTTGAACTACAGCAGATTTTCTTGACCATATCTACATGCCTAAATGCATTGAGTTAGGGACCCCCTCGAAAATGATAGAGACCCCCTCGAAAATGAGATGATTCATCTCAAGGGGCTATCCCATTCAATAAATTAAATTCAGTGCTGCCATGTGATTAACTAATTTGAAATTTGCGTTGGCAAGCAGTTGGACAGGTGTACCTGATAAAGTGTAGTAATAGTAATATACACTAACATAACTCTGAAACAGGTGCATTGGTGTTATATTCCTTCAACTTAATAATGACAAAACTGATGTTATTCTTTTCGGCCCCTCAAAAACAAGAATGTCGTATATTGGGGGCTTGGGAAGTCTTGCACCGTATGTTAAATCGCAAGTAAAAAAATCTAGGAGTTATCTTTGATTCTGAGCTTTGTCTAGAAAAACAAATTAGCTCAGTGGTTAAGAATAGTTATTATCAGCTGAGGATCATCTCCAGACTCAAATCCATTCTTTCCTTTCAAGATCTGGAAAAGGTCATACATGCTTTTATCACATCCCGCCTAGACTATTGCAATTCTTTATATGTTGGTCTCCCCCAATCCTCATTGGCACGGTTGCAGTTGGTTCAAAATGCGGCAGCTAGACTTTTAACAGGCACCAAAAATCATGCTCATATCTTTTTATTCTATTGCATTCCCAGGCTTTTAATCTTTATTGTGGTTGTTGCTGTAATACTTTTATTCCTATTATTACTTTTATTGTTATCTTTTACTCTTTTAGAGTGTGTGCTATGGTTTTGTTCAGCACTTTGGTCAGTGCCAAACTGAAGTAAATGTGCTTTATAAAAAAACTTTACTTACTTACTTACTATATAATTACTTCATTTTCTTTCTAATGCACATACATTCCCATTAATGTTGTCACTATGTCAATACAACATTGTTTACAGCAGGTTTAATTTTCTGCCAATATTATACTTACTTTTCCCCACTGATTATGAGTAAAACTAAATGATGAGGATGGAGGTGCTAAGGGCAGCTACTCACACCTTAGTAAGCCTTTTATGGTTTTAATTTACAACAATAATGCAACCTATGAGTGTCACAGCAGCACTATTCAGCAGATCTTCATCTGCAGTGCTGGAAGAGAGGAGAGGAGAGGAGGAGGAGGAGGATTCTGCATTAGCAGCACTGCTAGATAATACTGATGATGCTGATGAAGATGATGCTGACTTCTAAAAAAACATCCATCTACGGCAAACAACAATCACGGTACAAACCGGCTTTACTATGTCAAATGTGATGTAACGTTGTTTTGACCACATATCTGAAAACAGCTGCTGTAATCACTGCATGTTTACTAGCGTGAATCAGAACAGCATTTGAAGACGAAATCCATGTACCGTTACAACAACACAGAAATATGTTAGCGCAGTTTTTTCATAAATGCTCTTGGGGTTTTATGTACCTGTTTTGTGCAGCAGTATCACAGGTGAAATGAGTGGGGTCTGTTCTGTCCCGTCGCTTCTCTGTCTGTAGTGTTTATGAGTTACTAAAGCTGCAGTGGATGCTGTGTGTGTATTTGAACTCTCACAGCGCCCTCTGCTGCTGTGGGGCGATGATGCACAAATTAAAGGGAGAGTTCACCCAAAACATAAATATACTCATTTCCCAGTGATGGATTGTAGCTGGAAGGGCATCCGCTGCAAAAAAACATGTGCTGGATAAGTTGGCGGTTCATTCCGCTTTAGTGACCCCCTGATTAATAAAGTGACTAAGCTGAAAAGAAAATGAATAAATAAATGAATTACTCATTTTCAAGTGGTTCCAATCCTATGAGTTTTCTTCAAAAGATAATATTTTGAAGAAAGCTGAAAACCTGTATGCTAACAATTAGCCCCTTTCACACAGTAAGTTAGCAGGACATACGCCCACTTCCATCACTAACCGATGAGGAAACATGCATGGACAGTGCTTCTACATAATTAATTCATAGAAAGAGCAGCCAGAAAGGGGAAATTATGGACTTGTGCCAAATATTAGCATAATTGACCATAACAATGTACATTAACTATATCTATATGTCTGTATGTTTGTGTTTTCTTTATCCAGTTTCTATTCTAATTTGCAGTTAAACGGAAGAAATAAATAAAGAAATTGAATTATAAATTAAAGTATAAATAGCAGAAGGGAACAAATAGATTTTCCCTACCAGCATATATTCATCCGACACCAAATATAAAAGCAAACAACAGATTTAAGTGAAGTTTATTCATAAACTAATTTCGAGAGGATCACGTGCTTATGATTTATCACGGCCAGTCTCACATTTGCTAATCATATCTTCCGATCATATGAGCCCTATAAGCTACTATAAATAGCCTCAGTTTTCAGTTAACTTTATCTTCGTTTGGAAGAAACCCCCCTCCTCCCCTACTCTCTTCCTTTACCTCTGATTGGGCGGCACGGCGGCCCAGTGGTTAGCACTGTGAGCCCCACAGCAAGAACACTGCCAGCCCTGGTTCCACAGGACCGATGGGTGTTTCTGTGAGGAGTTTGTATGTTCTCCCCGTGTCCGCGTGGGTTTTCCCCAGGTGTCCGGTTTCCTCCCACCATCCAAAGACACCCTAGTAGCAAAGAATTCTGGCCCAGATTTGGCAAAAAGCTGGCACAGCAGGCATTCATCCGGCACTGGCATACAGCATGTGGGCCAAACATGGCCCGGGTTTGGCAGAGGTGGCACCGTTTTTAAGGTGGCACACAAGATTTGGGCCAGATGTAAAACATAGTATTTGGCCTAGATTTAAAAATTTGATAAGTGGGCCATGTGAGTTTGGCCAGTCTTGACCCACATTTAAAATACACTAAAATAATTTTTGAGTACAGAAAAAAAAATCTACCAATCAGGTCACTTTGAGAAAAAGCGTGCCCTTAGTGTGCCTAAAGCGCATCACTCCATGGGTTTATCAATTTCATTGCAATCGTGACACACCAACCTATCTGGCCCAGTTCAGGCCCAGTTATGAGTTATTAACTTGGCTGAGACTTGGCCCAGATATGGTCTGTGTTTGGCCCTTGTCTGGAGGCCAGATTTGGTCCACTCATGTACCGTAACTCACTGCGGCATGTGGGCCAAGCAAAACCTGATTGTGTGGGCCAGAGCTGGGCCAGAGAAATTTTGCTATGTGGCATTTAACATACATAACAATCAAGCTTTGTCTAACCCCTTGTGTTCCCTTAGCTACCGCAGCAGGGGAGTTCTGAGATCCACCGAGCTCTGGCTCCCCTCTCGCTCTGCCAACGGGAGGAAGCCCCGGGCTCGAGGAGCCCTTGAGCTTGGGGCTCTCTCCCGGGACAGCATGCCAAACAAGCTTTTATAAATCATCAAGTGTGAACTCTTGAAACTGTTGTCTATGAATGTGTCAGGAATTTCCAAATCAACCAACTTAACTCCGCTCCTTCAGCGCCCCTCACAGAGTTTTATCCATGCTGGCATTTCTCCTCTTGGGTTTTTGGTTTTGAAAAGGGAAAAAACTCCACAGCCCTGTCCAAACTTTAAGAATACCAGGGATTAGATTTGCACAATCTATATGCACAACGCTTTGGCTTGTTTTCCCCACGCTTGTCAGAGCTCCTGCGCATAGCTACGGTTGCTAAGCCACGATTGGTAAGTGGCGGTTTTTGGGTGTGGCTTAGCGAAGGGTCAATTGGGTAAGTGTATGAGTGTGAATGAGAGTTTATGGGTGTTTTCCAGTGATGGGTTGCAGCTGGAAGGGCATTCGCTGTGTAAAACATATTCTGGATAAGTTGGCAGTTCATATGGTGACCCCTGATAATTAAAGGGACTAAGCCAAAGGAAACAGAAGTTAAGATTAGGCATGGGCTGGTCTAAGATTATGATGGGATGATAACCTTGGATAAAAATATCATGGTTTCACGGTAGCCTATTGTTATAACTGCTCTAAAATATATTCTTTTTGAAAATCTGTGTAAAAAACAAAAACTTTTTTCCATTTTGAACTCAATTTATTTTATTTTGAGAAACATCTAAAATATTTTGGAACAGTAGCTAAATAAATTACTGACTTCTGCTGTCTTTATTACTTACTAAAAGAGATTTCTTCACAGTTTTAAACGCCATCTTTGGATATCTTTTCATTTAGATATACTGTTGTTCTAAAAAGCTACAAAAACAACATAAATAATAAAAAAGTGCACATACCATAGGAACGGTATAGCAGAACATTTTGTTAGTTAAGATTGTCTTTAAAAAAAGGGCAGGAGACCGACAGAAACATAGTTTAAAGAATAAAACCTGCTCCTGACCTGGTTAGGTTCACAGAATAATTTACTATGGTAACTGACTCTGAGCTAAAGTTACCTCTCTTTCAGAAACAGGCTTAACTTTCCCTGCTTTCTCCAGTTTGACAAATCTGCCATTTTGAAACTCCTTTCTGAAACAGCGCCCCATTCTTGCCCTTTGTGTTTGATCTCTGCTTTGCTTTCTTGTTTTGATATCTTGCCGCCTGTACTGACCGTTTGCCTATTCATTGACCATGACATTGGATTTGCCTGCATACATCTGTTTGCTCCTGATTGTGACCGTTGCTTGCCTGACTTTTCGAATAAACCTGTGTTTGGATCCGCTCCTCCCTTCTCAGCGTCCCATAACATTACAATTGTTACATTGGCAATAACTATACATACACTATAAAAACTTTAAATATGACAGAAATTAAAAGTCTGAATACTTTTATTTGACAGGTTTCATACATGTACTCATTGTGAGCATTCAGATTAAACATTTACACCACTATATGAAATACTGGAAAATCTCATTCTTGTTTTTTTTTCATTTACTGTCTGAATTCATTTTAAAATTCTAAATGCTCAATTATTAAAATGTACTGGGCTCTGAAATCATACATCTGTCTTTTTTTTGTCTTAAAGCAGTAAAAAACAAAAGCAAATTGCTCACTTTGTGACAGCCAATCTTCACAAATGTACATATACTGTATATATTTTTATTTTAGAAAAGAACTAAAAGCAACATATGTTAAGTGGAGAAACACTGTTAAACCTTTCCCTATATTACATGTACTTAATTGTACTGTACATCTTTCTATCAAAGGGGTGAAATTAATAAACAATAATCTAACCAATGCAACAGAAACAGAAAAATTGTACATGTATACTCAGGGCTACCATTGAGAGACTGAAAGCGTAGTGATCATAGTGGTTAAGCGTAAACCCGTCTCTCTAAGAGACTGGCTAATTCAAATCTTTAACACTTTCAATGCACAAAGTAAATTAGACATTTAAAATAAAAAGGAAATGACACTTGACTATAACAATATACACTTTTTTGGTCATGCAATGAATTGTGGTATGAAATACGTACCTTAAAATGAGGAAAGGATGATCTGTAAGGTATTAATATTCTCACTATTTATGCTTGGTGGATGTTTGAGAGTTTCTCAAACCTGAAAATGATATCAACTTATCTCAGTGAACAAACTACCTGTGAACTAGATGGATTTAGATCAGTGGCATATGATCATGTGATAGAAGTGTAACTTTTTTACTTTAACTTCAGTGCAATTCATATACATAAATATATATCCTATATTTATGAATATCCTATATATATATATATAGGATATGTATATGTAAGATATTTATGGGGTTTTACTAATTCAAGTGACAGCCATGAGGCACAATCTCGCTCATTCAAGGAATAGTTAGCTCAAAATGAAAATGTACTCATTATTTACTCACTCTCAAGTGATTTGTTTCTTCTGCTGAACACAAAACATGATACTCCAACACAATCTCATGGCAAATCGTAACTTTTTGATTTGGTGGCTATTTCGTATCAATTTGTATGGTCTCATTCATATAATTTAGAAGAATTTGTTGGGTGCCACACCTTCTTTTTAAAATTGTACATTTTCGCACGACTGAACTCATATGAATTTGTATAAATTAGCCACTAAACTGACAAAAAGTTAAATAGTTACGTTTCCTCATGAGATGAGGCTGGATATTCAAATGCGTATCTCATAACTTTTTGATTTAAAAAAATTTGTCGGGTGCCACGTGTCCTTTTTAAAATCGTACATTTTTAAATGACTGAACTCGTGTGAATTTGTACGAATTAGTCTCTAAACTGACAAAACGTAAAATAATTTCACTTGTGAGATGAGGCTGGATATTTTAAAAGCATGTCGTGACTTTTTGATTTAGTGGCTAACTCGTATAAATTCGTAGGATCGCATTCGTACAATTTAATAGGATTTGTTGGGTGCCATGTCTCCTTTTTTCAAAATTGTTCATTTTCAAACAACTGAACTTGTATTTATTTGTACGAATTAGTCTCTAGACTGACGAAATAGAAAATAGTTACGTTTATTTTTCTGTGTTGGTCATGTGGAGAGCATGAGACTTGTGTGACGCTCCAGGGACAGACAAGTCCTCGCTGAGGCCCAGCTTCCAGCCTCCAGTACTTAGACTGCAGCTCTGCACAAGACGTTTGGCCAATGGAGAAATGGAACCCATCTGATCTTGGTTCTCTCGAGGTTTTTTTTCTTCACTTTCGCCAATTATATATATATTTTTTCCTCGCCACTGTCGCCACTGGCTTGCATGATTCGGGATCTGTAGAGCTGCGAATCGATGGATTTGCTCTTCAGTGTTTGGACTCTCAGTAGTGGTTATTAAACCACACTGAACTGAGCTAAACTGAACTGAACTTAAACTTTAAAAACTGAACTACACTGTTCAATTTACTAAATTCTTTTATGTGAAGCTTCTTTGACACAATCTACATTGTAAATGCGCTATACAAATAAAGGTGAAATGAATTGAATTACTTGTGAGATGAGGCTGGATATTCCAACGCGTTTGTCAGAACTTTTTGATTTAGTGGCTAATTTGTATGAATTTTTACCATCTTATTCGTACAATTTAGTAGAATTTGTTGGGTGCCACGCCTCCTTTTTAAAAACTTCAATCTCATTCGTACAGTTTAGTACTGTTTGTTCATCCCTCAATAAGCTGGTTAAGTTTAGCGGTGGTGTTTGGTGCCACGCCTGCTTTGAAAAATCATACTAAATTGACAAAACGTAGAATAGTTACGTTTCCTTATAAGATCAGTTTAGAGTGAAGCAGCCATTGACATCCATAGTGAAAACAAAAAAATATATAATATGAAAGTCAATAGCTGTTTTTTCGCAAAAATGTTTTGTATCTCTTGCTTTGTATTCAACAGAAGAAAGGTTTGAAACAAGAGGAGGATGAGTAAATGATCAAGAAATCAAGAAGTACACCATAAACAAGAAGATCTGCGTAACATTAATGTGAAGGAAGCACCAATACAGACTACTGAAGCCAAAAGATTATAAAGGAAATGCAGAAGAACGGGTTAATAAAGACAGCATTTCATCTCTACACAGTAAAAGTGGCGTAGATGTATTATTGTGTGCCATCCACTGGAATTCTGGGATTCTTTCTCTGAGGTAGCCGTGAATATGACCAACAACTTAAAGAAAAAGCTTGAACGTACAAACGCGACATCATATTTTTCAACATAGCACCACTGTTGTCGATTATCTCCACTTCTTTTCGTCCCATCCTCGATATTTTCCATGTGTTCACCTTAGCCCTCATAATCCCCACTGATGTGCATTAAGGGCATGAACTCCAATCAGTTGATGTTTCTTTCTTACTTTCTCCTCCCCTCTTTCTCTTCTTCTAATAGTTTAATTCTCCTGCAGTGCATCTACACAAGCTACAAGATCTTCATGCAGACTTGACAGCGACTGAGACGCGAGCGGAACTGATCTCCTTTGAGCGTCTCTTGTGTGGGACCCTGGACGAACTGTTCATTCACATCCACTGTGGTCAGCCAGAAACTGTACTTATTGGCAAAATAGTGGCAGGTGCCGCGGGCGCCGTTGCACTCAATGAAGGGAGTCGCGCGAAAATCCTCCAGACAAGAGCCGGGAGACATGAGTGACTGACCGCCTCCTTCTCCACCTGCACCTGTGTGCTGAACCACACACAAAACACAAAGTTTTACTCACACAGTTTGATATTTTTAAGATACCAGGAAGTAAAATAATTAAGAAACACTCCACTTTTTTAAACTTGTTTTACAGCTTCACTACAGTTAAGCACTTTTAACCATTTTTAAATCCATTCAGCCGATGTCTGGGTCTGGCAGGTGCACTTTTAGCTTAGCTTAGCATTGATCATTAAATTGGATTAGACCATTAGCATCTCGGTAAAACGTCAGTAAAAAGTTCAAGACACCCTCAAGTACTTTTTTTGAGATTTGAACAGATTTGTGTGTGTTGAGCATCAGTAAAGACGATGTTAACACCTTTCAACTTTAATTGTGGAGAAAACTGGATAATTTTGAGCTTTTGTCAGCTAATTTCATTTTCTGGGTTTAAAATCATTATTGGGCAGGATTAAAATCTGTGATGTACTGCTGAACATGTCGGTTTCTCATTATTATTCATAGCAGAGTTTTCTTATTTTATGAGAAGACCCTGCTTCTAAATTACTCATGAGAGCATGTGCTTTCCGAAGGCAAGGCAGACCTGCTGTGCTCTGAGACCCAATGACTTGGTGAGACCATGTCCACGCATGGCACGAGTTGTATGTATTTGTTTCCATGATTCACAAGGTTTGTTGCATGTTTTTCCCTGTGATGCTCTAGGGCCGATACAGCAAAGCTGTTGGCTTGCAGCAAGCATTTTTGTTGAGAGAGCTGTACGAGAATTGGAGATCGGTGGACTTTGTCTTTTATCACTGAAGTTCGTTACCATTCAGATATATCCGTGCTGCTGTGTTCACCTATGTTTAAAATCCTCCAGATTACAGGCAGGGTTAATGGTTGAAATAGACACAAAATACTAGTCAATGGCTGTTTTCCCCCAACAAGTGTTGGGTGAGTAAATGATGACATTATTTTAATTTTTGGGTGAACTATGCTTTTAATGTTTTAAAACTTTAGTTACAGGTAACACATTTTTTTTAATTTGATGGATTTAATCTGCAGCTGGACGGGCATCTGTCGCATTAAACATTTACCAGAGTATTTTGTGGTTCATTCAACTGTGGCAACCCCTGAAAAAACAGTGACTAAGCAAGAAGAACATGAGTGAGTGAGCTGTTGTTTTAGTCAAGTGTAATACCCACATTTACAATAAATGTCTTTATGTCATTGAGTACGTTTACATGAACACCAACAATCTCATAACCAATAATGCAGGAAATGTTCCTGAATGAAAGTGAAAGTGCCAAACTGCAGTTAAAGTTGACAAAAATTGAAACACCTGAAATTACATGAAACTCCAGAGGAAACGTTTGTAGCATGGTGACGCAATGACGTTAATCAATCTATGCACTTTAACATGTAAAACGGCAGCATGAAAGGAACATTCAAAAGCAACTCATGTAAACACCTTGATCATATTGTCTTAATTAGATTAAGGCAAAATAATTTGACTACTGATGTCCATGTTGTTTATCACAATATTTTAAATTTAGGAACATCAAAATATGAATATTAAATTAAACTATTAAATTAATAAAGGATATTACTTCATGCCTATTGTGTTAATTGATAAAGTACACAAAAGTCATACAATCAAAAGTTAATCCGCAGTGATGTCTGGCTTTGCATGTTTGTTCAGGTATACAGTAAATGAATTTTACCATGAGGAAGGAGTAACCGATCCACAGACTTCTCCAGCCCTGAGGGCATGTTGGTATGGTCAGATCTTGGCTATGGACAGCGATTGGTTGAGATGGAACTTCACACACTGAGCAGCGGCTAATGTATGGGGAAATCTCCTGATTTGCCACAGGCATCATGGGAATAGCCGCTGTGGTGGACAGCCAATAGGACTTGTCATTGCGGCTTGCATAGTAGCAAATTTCATTGGCGGTGCAGTAGAGGAAGGGGATTGTGCTGAAATGAGGCAGGCAGGAGCCGGGCAATCCTGTGGAAATGAGAACAATCTTTCACAGCGCCATCTTGAGGAGAAACTTACTCATCTGCATATTCATGTTAAACTGTATTTATAATCAACTGATTCAATGATAAGTTGAATCAGCCTCTACTCAATAGAATTAGGAAAACTCAATTAAACTCATAAAACACATACAATCTCAATATCACACATTAAAGCTAGTCTTTTATACGATCTTAGTGTAAGCTACAGTTTGTGGACTTGCTTATTCCAAGCCTAATGTCTCACCCAGGTCCTGGTTGTGCGCTTTCTCTTGTCCCTCCACATAGAGCAAACTGTACCCCTCCCAGAGCCTGGTCATTCCCTCAGGACACATGGGCACCCGTGTGGATTGACTGTGCTTCACCAAAGTATAACCAATGCCAGTGCTGCGCGTCGGTGGAGCAGGAATACCTGGCAACCCTGGTTTACCACGAGGTCCTGTGGGGGACATAGCAAAGTTTAAAATTTTAAAGTAAAAAATTTAGAGCAGAAGTTACAGAAAAGGCAAGAGAAGAAGGGGGAAAGATATAAACCAGAATGTTTTAGTGAAATTTACAATTACCTTAAGTAAAATCAAGTATCAAACGTAAAATGTCTACCTGATATGGCTAAGGAATTTACTTTTCAATGTACACAATATTTATTGCAAAAACTACTCTTAGGATTACTAGATACAATTTAATATTAAGATATTTTTTTTCTTGAAGTAACACACTGGATGATACTGCAGTTCTCATCCAGTTTTGCCTAAAGATTTAAATATTGCATGGGATGAAAAATCAATATCCAACACTATATAAATTATCAACAGAAATATATTGGTTTTAATGACCTGAAATGCATTATTAAACCATAATTTATATGAGTCTGTGCTAAATAAAAATATTAATTTCCTAAAGATTTGTTCGATTAGACACAGTCTTTTAAACATTTTATTCGTTTTTCTCGTTAATCTGTTGATCATGAACCATCTTTTCCAAAGTATTGCTTCCAAACATTTACAGCTGCAATCTGTACCTTGGAGTCCTGTGGGTCCTTGGATTCCAGAAGGACCAGGATCACCAGTAAATCCAGGAGATCCAGCTAATCCAACTGGACCAAGTCTACCCACTTGGCCTCTGAATCCTTTGGGGCCTACAATAATTTCAAAGCAATCAAAAGTGGAGTTGGAATGGTTAATTGATCAGACTTTCATATCATATTACTTTCTATTTTTCTTCAATAGTTCTCACCTGGGTTGCCTGGACTGCCTGGCAGACCTGGTATTCCTGGCTGACCAGCAAATCCATCAAGCCCTGGTTGGCCTGGATCCCCAGATGGCATTCTGGCTGTTATGTTACTTGCGAACACAAAACCTGGATTTCCAACAGGACCAGAAGTACCTGAGAAGACAATAGGCAGAAGTCAATGTATCATGACTGTCCAGGAATTGAATTATTCTTGTTTAGATTTTTGATTTGAATTCATAAACTACTGACCCTTTAGACCTCTGGGTCCACTTCTGCCATAATCCCCCGGTTCTCCAGGAGACCCTGGTCGTCCAGGCACACCACTGAAGCCAGGCTCACCTCTTTGTCCTTTAAATATAGAGAGAGAAACATGTTTAATCACTTTTTGACAAACTACAACATAGAAAAAGGGTTAAAGAGAAAACATGTCAAAATGTCAATGGGAATACCTTTGAAACCAGGATTGCCTTGTAATCCAGGGGCTCCAAAACCACCTGGCTCACCACGTGGTCCTATTATTCCTGGACGACCAGGAAACCCAGGGTCTCCTCTGTCTCCCTGGACAGTTCCAGGGCCTGGTGGACCAGGGAGTCCAGGAGGACCAAAGGGACCTACAGTGCAAAAGATCCAGTTTCCATTAAATCACTGCATCACCACAATGATAGGCAACTAACACGGCAAGAGAATAGAAGTAAAAAAAAAAAAAGCAAGTTTTAATTAAACGACAGCGGTAGATAATGTAGTTGAAAGCCCCACTTGAGTAAAAGAACAGATATCTTACTAGAAAATGACTTTGTTACAGTTATTGTCCATGGTTTGTTCCTTTCCTTTCATTAATTGACAAATGTCTTTTAGGAAAGTGCATCTGAGTAAAAGTTTAGAATTTACTGAAGAAATTAAATCAAGTAAAAGTGAAAGTTGCCAGAAAGATCAAAATGCAAGTAAATTATAGATACTAGCAAAAATACTATTGTAAATATTGTAACAAAGTATTATTAGCTTGTCACATTGCCACCATGGTGAAATAAGATTTAGATCTCGAGATCAAGCATATTGTAGTTTTAGGTAAATAGAAGTAAACCCCAAGAAATAATTAGTTCAACCTTAGAAAAACAACAAAAGTGATGACAGCAGTGAAGACAGAGATGTCTCGTACCTTCTCGTCCATCTAATCCTGGAAGTCCAGGGTCTCCGAGAGGACCTGGGATATTAGAAAGACTAGGTTGACCAGGGGGGCCTGGATTTCCAGGGTAGCCTCTTAAACCACGAGCACCTATATGCAAATTAAAAAAGAAACAGGGACTATTAACCAATGACTGCTTATGAATGCCCATTTGCTTGTTAGAATGCAGCTCAAAGGCCTTGCAGAAAATAATATAAAGAGTGCAAAGCCCTTGATTAGCTGGATTTAATTATTATAACTAGAAGTGGCTCTGACACTTTGAAATAACATGTCATGTTTTTGTTTCTCCAAATGTCTTTGATTTTCCCACAACACTGCAAAAATGCATACATGTTTTCCGCAGCAGATGCCCTTCAAGCTGCAACCCATCTCTGGGAAACATCCATACACACTCATTCACACTCATACACTACGGACAATTTAGCCTACCCAATTCACCTGTACCGCATGTCTTTGAACTGTGGGGGAAACCAGAGCACCGGAGGAAACCCTCGCGAACGCAGGGAGAACATGCAAACTCCACACAGAAACGTCAACTGACCCAGCCGAAGCTCGAACCAGCGAGCTTCTTGCTGTGAGGCGACAGCACTACTTACTGTGCCACTGGATCGCCCCATGCACTAATGTATACAAGTTAAAAAGTTCCATATATATATATTGGATTCATAAAAGTATATGTGTGTGTGTCTATATATATATATATATATATATATATATATATATATATATATATATATATATATATATATATATATATATATATATATGTATATATATATATATATATATTGTTACGTTTCACATATGTTTTGTAGTATTTTTGTTGTTTTCTGCTTTGCGCTCTTCTCTCTTCTCTCTTTCTATCTCTTGTTGTGGTCCTATCCTGTTTCAGGTGTGCTACCATTGGTCGGTTGAGCTGTCATTCACCTTCGTCACTACACCGCGCAGTATAAAACCGGTGCGCTTGCGCTGTTCTGGAGGAGCGCTTGGCCTGCCAATCTCCTCACTTGTGTCGGCCGGACTGTTTGTTTGATTGATCCGCTTGATTTGTTTGCGAGTGCTATTTTCTAGTTTTCTCCCTGTTTATCCTGATTTATCAGTTAAACTTGTGCTGCTCTTGTTAATGTTTAGTGAGATTTTGAACGATCTTTATGAGAAGATCTTGTTTTGCTAATGGCTAACAGTGTGTACTTTACGAGAATTCTAGCATTTCGAGCAGCTTAGTAAAATTTTGTATTAGTTAGTTTTTGGAGGCGTTGCCACATGTGTACTTATGTTTGGGAGTTAAGAAGTTTAGTTAAGCTACGTGCTGAAGATTACGGTTTTGTTTCTACATTTTTCTTTGTTCAGTCAGTTTAGTGGGTTGGGGTTTAGTTAGTTCGTTTTGTTATATTTATTTCTTTGTTTTGGCAACACTCTTATTTTTCTTTATTTAATTCAATTATTTCAAATTACATTAATCTTTCATCTTACATTCATTGTTTGGCATTATCCATTAATAAATACTTATTTTTTGTTTCACTTATCAAGCGTATGCGTCTTCTCCTCATTCACCCAGCATCAATAGACTCACTGATTGTTACGTATCATCCCTTTAATTATTTAACATCATAAACACGTAACAATATATATATATATATAAATATATATATATATATATATATATATATATATATATATATATATATATATATATATATATATATATATATATATATTAGCGCTGTCAAAATTAACGCGTTAACGCATGCGATTAATTTTAAATAATTAACGTGTTAAAAAAAATTACCGCAATTAACGCAGTTGCAGGTTTTTTTTACTTCTTGTTGTGGTGGACGTGTGTTCAACATGCAATAAATGTGGATAAGACCAAGGAAGCACTTTCCAGTATAAAACAATTAGTTGCATCACAGGTTATCCAGAGTTTCATGCAATTTCGTGTGTTTCATTTTTAACTTTCGACTTCTGTTGTAAGTTGATACCGCATGGCGAACAGAAAGAAAATCCTCCACATTTCGTGACTCGGTGTTCCTTTAAGGTAAGGTTCCTTTTAAGGCTACACGGTTGAATTTTAATAAGAATATTATCTTAATCATATTAAAATCGGGAGTATTGGTGTCTTACGTAAATGTATTCAGTACGTCTGGTGAAGTCGCGAGCTGTCAAAGACAGGGCATTACTCTGCCTTTCAGCATGAGCCCTCCAAGTTTAGCGTGTTTCCTCATTAAACGCAACGAAAGCGTCTGCTTCGCGTTGTTGTGTCAGAATCCTTGTGAAATACAGTAATACTTTAGGACGCTTAGTTTAAGCAAATTTGATAAACGTGATCATGCGTGTTGAATCTGAGGGGAGTCGCTCCAGTATAGAAGGCCGTTGGGGCCAAAACGTCTGCAGCGCGTTGTGTGTGTGTCTGTCTGTGTGTGTGTCTGTGTCAGGCCCGTTGAGGGATGTCAGGGGTGGAGTGAGCGACGTTTCTGAGTAGGGGCGAGAAGGGTGTGCAATGTATTTAACGACCACACAAGAAATTATCATTCATTTGCGGGCATTTGGGAGTCTCTGTGCATTTGCGGGATACTCCTAGTCTTAGCAACTGGATGAATGTAAAGGAGGATTAAGCAAAATTGTTTCTACTCTATAACTAATGTTCTCAACTCACAGCAATAAAACTTTACAATGAGTGCAACAGTTTGTATTCTATAGTTTATTATTATAATTTTTCATTTTCCATATCTGCAATTCCTGTATTTTGGCATTTTTTTTGCAGTCCACTTAGAATCCAACATGGAAATCAATGTTTTCTTTATTGGCATTGATTGTTTTGAAATTTAAATGTCATTTACATGCCTGTGTTTTAATTTCTGTAATAAATATGGCTGTCAAGCCAGGATCTTGATGGTTTATTGTGGGTTGTTGTTATATATGTTATATATATATATATATATATATATATATATATATATATATATATATATATATATATATATTTGTTGTTTATTGTTATATATGTTGTTTACATGAAGAAATCTGTGTTACAAGTTAAACAAAAATTCTATTAAACAATTATATTTTGAATTTAAATAGTTTTTGTCTTGCGTTTACATTAATTTTACATTTAAATAGCCAAAATTACAAGTTTCAGTATTTTAAATGCGATTAATCGTGATTAATTTTTCTTAAAAGGTGCGATTAATTAGTTAATTTTTTTAAATCGATTGACAGCACTAATATATATGTATTATATATATATATATATATAAACAAATCACATGAATATTATAAGTAATTATACAATTAATATATGAGATTCATACATAAAAAAGGATCTGATGATCTTAATTTGCATGTATAGTAGGTTGTGTATGAGGATTCTCACCAGTGTCTCCTCTGACCCCTTTTTCTCCGGGGCGGCCAGGTACTCCAGGTTGTGATGTTCCTCTCTCTCCTTTTTGTCCGTTTACACCAGGCGGCCCAACCCGACCACCTTCAATCACACCTAAGGACATATTCATGAATTAAAGAAAAGTCATTAAAATATTTGTTCAGGTTTAAGGCTTAATATGTTGAAATTTATAATGAAAATGTTTTACCTGGAACTCCAGGTGGCCCTCTCGATCCTGGAAGCCCATTGAGTCCATCTAAACCAGGTGAACCCGGAAAACCTAAAGATAAAGTGAAACATTTCAGAAATGTTATCAGAAATATTTCAAGATGGTTTTCTGCTGGATTATATACGCAAATGGTTAAACTGGAGAAAAATTGCAATAATTGCAAGTTGCAATATTATACATTAAATTTGTCCTTAACTAACCTTTATCTCCTGGTAAGCCTGGACCTCCAGGACGGCCTGGATCTCCATCACGCCCCCTCAGTCCTGGATAACCAGGGAGACCCCTAGGGCCTGGGGGGCCTGATGAACCTACAAACAAACACATCAAAGAAAACTGACAAAGTGACAACAAGGGAAAAAAAAAAAACAGTATATAATGTAAAAAATTAGATCACTGAAACAGAATCATACCAACAAATCCTGGTATTCCTGGGTCCCCAGGGAAGCCTTTCTGGCCTTGATATCCCAAGACACCTGGAAATCCTGAATCACCTGGTTCACCAGGACGTCCTGGACCACCTAGTTGTCAAAGGTAAAAGACAAAAATATATTCATAAATTAGGTTTGTAATGTAAAATACCTAATAACAAACAAAAAAGAAGTGTTGATAAAAAAAAAAACTTTATTCATATCAACAATGTCTTTCTTACCTGGGAATCCAGAATTTCCTATATTTCCCTTCGGTCCAGTGGGTCCAGATGATGCATATGAGTCACCTTTCTCACCTAAAGTCAGTTTTTAAGGACACTGGTTATTAGGGGTGTCAAAATTAATTGTTTCTTCCGTGCACCGCGATGCAGATGCAGACAATTCGGTATTGGTTTAGTAATAATCATAACCGGTTATTATGTACTGACGTCATTTACCTCATATGGAGGTGAGCGTGGGTATTTACAACACGTCTGGCGCCAACTACTTAAAAATGCAGAAACTGTGCACAATTTCACTGCATATGTGTGTTTTCTGGACAGTCTTTCACTGACACTTCCAGCAGAAGCCCCTATTTCTCTGCGGTTAAGGGAATGAAAGTGAACTCCATTTCTCTCTCTCTCTCTCTCTCCTCTCTCTCTCTCTTTCTCTCTCTCTCTCTCTCTCTCTCTCAGTGGCCCATTTCACCTGCTGGTGTGACTTTTTCTCTCTGCTTCTGGCGTGACTTTTCCTCCACTCTCTTTTCCTCTCGACTGTATGCTTTGCTGAGGCTATACCTGTGCATTGTCGCGGGACCCGACCAGATTTCATGCAGCGCGGGAATAAATTTCCGAATAAAGTGTGAGAGCGGTCAGTAACTCTGGTGTAATTTTAACAGGAGTGGGCGGCCCCACACAATATCGCTCCCAAGCGAGCGAGCAAGCAAGCAAGCGTGCATTTCGTGTGTGTGTGTGTGTGCGTGTATTTGTTTGGTGCTGTCTATGTTTGTGTATGTGTGTGAATGAGAAACAGTGTGGTGCTGTGTGTATGTGTGTGTGTGTTTATAGCGACAGCTTGTTAAAGCCTCCCCCTAAAGTACAACACTGTGTATGGAAAGCATCGTTTATGTACCGCGATGCACCGCGATATCGAATTGAACCAAATCGATGGCATGATAATCCGTACCGAACCGTGAGACCAGTTATAGCTGCCTTTAGCCTTCTATTGAAATCTTTTGCCATACAGTTGAGGTCAGAAATAAACACAGATTTACAGAAATCTCACCTTTGGCACCAGGTGGTCCTTGAGCACCCGGGAACCCAGGAACCCCAGGGACACCATTATCACCCTACAGATAAGAACAACATAAAATATAAAAATACAACAAACAAGATCCATGTGCTAACTTCACACTCGGTCAAGAACTTGTCCAGATTACATATCAATCAAACAAATAATAATAATAACAACAAATATTTAGATATTTAAAGGAAATTAAAGGTTTCTAACATTATTTCTATGACAATCAGGCATATCGTATACAAAATGTTATTATTTCTAAACAGTGTCCCTATATACATAGCACGTAAGTACAAATTATGACAACTAGATTGAACCTGATGATGATACCAGTATCAGATGTGATGAATCCATAGTATACTGTGCTGTGTCTGAATACAGAATGCTTACCTTCACACCTGAAAAGCCAGGGAAGCCCATAACTCCAGGAAAGCCTTTGGGTCCAGGGAAGCCAGATGAACCAGGAACACCTGGGATTCCAGGCTGGCCAGGTAAACCCTTTGCCTGGTCTGCAAAGCCAGGTGGTCCTGGAAATCCTGGACGTCCAGGAGGCCCTGGAAAACCTTTATCACCTGTTCAAAAAGAGATGTGTTTTCTTTAAGTACAGAGAGTAATGCTTATCTTAAATGTGAAGCCAAGCAAATATCCCATACTTTCATCACAAAGTGAAATGATGTACAGGTTTGTCATTTACAATACCACATAAATTAATTCAATGATTCTACTAGAAGCCCAAAGTTTACTTTGGCCACTATGTTTTGAGACCAACTCACCCCTTACCTGATTACTGGCACATTATGTGCACTCCATTTACCATAAACCCATACCTGGCATTTATGGCACCTTCACCTTTGTTATCTATTACACGTTAAATTAAGCAGTTCACACACACATGCACATCTTGGTGTTGGTGAAGTCTCCACGGGCATAATGTATTAATAATGTATGTACCCCTAAACTCACTCACTGGAACATGCAAAATCCGAATATCAAAACACCTTCTTAAGTATGAATTTAAAGCATTTTAAATTACAAAGACACCAGTCATGTCCTCATAAACCACCGTAATAGAGTACAACAATGTTACACCAATATCATTGCACAAAAAATGCCCTTGCAAACTACCAGAACCAGTACACACAAAATCACTTTTTTTGTCTTGTTTTGCCTTGTCAATTATCTTTTTTGATATATTTTCTTGTCTGTTTTTCCTTATTTGTATCTTTGATATCTGCCGCAACCCATTGCTTCTTACTGACTTTGACTGCCCTGCTTTCACTAGTACTTTTAGTAGTGTTTTGACCCTACCAGTTTAACCATGGCTTTTACCAATAAATGGATCCCAACTGCTCAGATTACTTTATTACAAAGGGTTTCATCAAATGCAGATCAAGCAGCTACAGTATCTGAAACCCACACGCACTCAAATAGCTACTAAACTAAATCTTCAGCAAAGAGGCCTGTTGATCGAGGAATACGTCCATTAATTCTGATGAGTTGTCATATCAGCTACATGGATACATGGATGTCTCAGTAAGGACATTTTTCATTATGGAATCACTGAGCATATAAAGCAATGTTGATCGCACCCTGCATTTTATGGACTTAGCGCTGTTGCTAATTTGCTCCTCTTTTACTATAGGAATTGTGGATGACAATGTAGGTTCCTGCTCTTATTATGTCTGCCACTCTAGAGACACATTTTTATAAGGCAGCCACACAGTTAGATTAAAGAACACTATAGCAGAGTCTCATCCCATCATGTGTTGAACTCATCTATCTGTGGCTGAGTATACTTTGACAATTGCATGGACATGGCATTGAAAGAGCTTGAGCCAAAGGCAGAAAACCAACTTTATTGAGCCTTAATTACTTAATTATCATGTTCAAAGATTAGCCATACACATTTTATTGCTAATAATTGAGGTGAATTTTTCATTACTAAAAATGAGTTCTATTTATGGGCGTCACGGTGGCGCAGTTAGTAGCACAATCGCCTCACAGCAAGTAAAAAGATCTTCCACTTTCACATGCAGAGCAGCAGAGGCTGGGTCAGTTGGCATTTTTGTGTGGAGTTTGCATGTTCTCCTCGTGTCAACGAGGGTTTACTCAGGGTGCTCCGGTTTCCCCCACAAGTCAAATAACATGCGGTACAGGTGAATTGGGTAAGCCAAATACCGTAGTGTATGTGTGTGACTTTGAATGAGTGTGTATGGATGTTTCTTTGTGATAGGTTGCAGCTAAAAGAGCATCCTCTGTGTAAAACATATTCTAGATAAGTTGGCGGTTCATTCCGCTGTGGCGACCCTAGATTAATAAAGGGACTAAGCCGATTTTTTTTATTTTATTTTTATGAATGAATAAGTTCTAATTATAAAGCAAATGAAGTCTAATTAGACAGTTTGGTCATTTCTCGTACCTCTTTGTCCTGTGAAACCAGGCCCTCCAACAATTCCTGGTTCACCTGGTTCACCCTTTACAAGCCGTTCCACTGGAATTGGTGGAGTTGATGGTCCTGGAGGACCAGGTTCACCACGATCCCCTTTAAGATTCACACATACTTTAATTAAAACAGTACATGAATTCTGAATTCTATTTCTGCAGTGAACTCTGAATTAAATTTACAAAACATATGTGCCATCTGGTTTCTTCTCGAAATACTGAAAACTTAGATCATTACAAATGACAAATCATTGATAGCCAGGTGTCTTTCAAATGTCATCACAATACCTCTGGGTCCTCTTGGCCCATCTCTGCCAATTAAGCCATCCTGTCCACGGAAACCAGGCAAACCTTTAATACCTGGACCTCCTGGAATTCCAGGAGAACCAGGTAATCCTTGGAACCCCAACAACCCAAGAGATCCTTTCTCCCCTTGAACACAGACCAAAAAAGAAGTAAATACAAACAAGCAAAATTAGCAATTTTTGGAGCCCCAGACAGGTTGATTTTATGTCTGTATTCACACCTTTTATTCCTGGTCTTCCAGGTATGCCGTCACGTTCCGTAAAACCTGTGGGTCCAGGAGGTCCCCTAAATCCCTGCGAACCTGGGATGCCAGGTATTCCTTGTATACCTTTTATTCCACCAGGTCCTGGAGGCCCTGGATCTCCTCTCATGCCTTTTAGCCCCGGGAAACCTGTGGAGTAAAAATTTGTTACAACACTATAGGCACTTGGCTTGAAGATTGGCTCAGATTGTAATATTTCATATTTTATTTAATAATGTAGCTGAACTGTACAGTGCATGTAAACACTCTTACCCATTGAGTCTCGATAGACAATATTCTTTTAACAACAAGTAAATTGTAAAAAACAAAAACAAAAAACAAAACAAGCATAAGCTAATGGATGCAGTGACTGTTTACATGGACATCAGTAATCAAATTGTTTCCATTAATCTGAATAAGACAATAATATTATTAAGGTGTTTACATGAGTGGATTTTTGATTGAACTGAATTGCCTCTGGTGAATTGTTCCTTTCATGATCCTGTTTTACATTTTATAGCACATAATTGGGTTAATGTCATTGCGTGACCACACTATCCAAATCTCCTTCAGATTTCATGTAATTTCAGTTGTTTCATTTTTGATTGTTGACTTTAACTGCAGTTTTTGCATTTTCACCTTTATTCAGGAACATTTTATGCATGCCCCCCGTGAAAAACGAGATATTGGATGTGATTATGAACTGCTGAAAGAGTGTTGTTTCAATGGAATTTAAATTTGTATGGAAAAAACCTCTGCATTTTGTGATGCAGGTGTCTGTGGTCCATTGCTGACTCATTGGGTGCAGAAACTAGTGTTAAACAGCCGTGTGTGTGTGTGTTTGTGTTTGTGTGTGTAGACTATCCTGTCGCAAAATGCAGTGAAAATCCTACATGACAGTAGTAGTTTGATTGCAGTGTTTACATGTCTGTACTGCACTTCAATAACGTGACTAAAATTAGCATTCTCCACATTTCTTAATCCCATTTCTGTTCAGTTCAAGTATGACTTAAGTTCGACTGAGGTAATCAAAAAAAATCTCAGTTTACATGAAAGACTCTTAATCAGACTTTGTCGATCATGTTAAAATCTGATTATTGATGTCCATTCAAGCATACTCAGTGTTGTACAATAACACATTAGAAAGGATGAACAGAATAGCAGCTAATTCTAGACTGAAACACTAGTAGCTTGTATATGAAATATTACTTTTAACTAAAGACGATGTTTCATCAGTAGATGGTTAAAGGCACACAAGCACAACATGGTTACAGTGGCATGATAAGTTCTGAGGCTACATTGTTAGATGGTGTTGCTCAAACTATGTCAACCTGAAAGTTAGTAATTAAATGCATCTTTTAAGGTGTGAGTGTACCAGGTGATGCCAAGTTTATTGTACTCAAACACACGAAAAAGATGTACAGACAGTTTAAATACGAAAGACTATAGAAAAACTATATTTACCATACAGTGCTCAGCATAATTGAATACACCCCATTTCAAAAATAAATATTTGTATCCATTTCTCAGGGAATAAATAATGTATTTTGGTGCATTTAAACAAAACAGATTTATTTAATGGATATATTTATTAAAATATTATTTTAGTCACCAAACATATTTAGAGATTGAAAGATAATACAATTTACTTCAAGCTAAATTTAGTAAAAGAATTACAATATAAAAAATGTCAACAATTTTTTTTATGTGTATTTAATATTTTTCTATAACCTATACATTTACGTGTATTATTATTTGGACCGTTATCATAAGTTATTTTGTTAGGTAAGCCCCATATTTGGCTCCAGTACTGACTAATCTAATGTATATGCACAAATATAATACTGTAGAGCTTCCTATTAAAAAAATAATTTAAAAGAGAGATTTGTGAGGGGTGTACTCATATATGCTGAGCACTGTATAGTCCGTTGCATATTTGCAGACCCAAATGTAACTGAAATCAGATTTTTTTTCTTCAAACATTCATATCTGTCTATTGTAGAGGTGTCTTTGGTTGCCTCACGATTAAATTATGAATCAAAGAGTGATGAAAAAATAACAAATATGTAAATAAAATCAGCACAACGAATACAGTAAGAAAGCAAAAAAAAAATAAATCAATTTATAATTTTTTATTGCTGCACAAAGACTTCTTTTTGGTGTAAAATTAGTTATTTTGGGGACATTTAGGACATCCTTTGTCATGTGATAAGTATCTTGAGTCAAATTCATTGTTTTTTTTTTTATTGACATATTTACAACCTGTTATTAACTCGGCTGGACAACTAAAACAATATTTTTTTCAGTTCCATTTTCTAGAAAGTTAAGATCTTTTGGCTTTGTATCAAGAGCATTCAATGGAGAAATAGTTTAGAAACTAAATAACTAAATGTGAAAAATAACCACTCCAAATTCAATTGGTTTAGTTTAGGGCAAGTTAGGGCTGCACAATGTTGGAAAAATTCTGATATTGTGATATTTTATTTTTCTTCGATAAATACTGCGATATGAATACTGTTTTACAAAAGGGTTTTCTGGGGAGACCAACAGTATTCAGCTATATAAATTGCAAAATCACAACAGAAAAAAATGCTTTTCTTTGTTTTGTCTCATTTCCAGTCCAAATATCCAAAAATTCTTAGAGCACGTAGAAATATGGTTTTGTTTTCACCGTCACAATTAAGAGATTTTTCTTAAGACAAGCTAAAATATCTGCCAGTGGGGTAAGTAACATAATCTGTTTTTCGCTTTGATATTTGATATTTGGACTATAAACAAGTCAGAAATTCTATGTAAGACATTTTTATGCATAAATCATATAAATTCCATACAAATTCAGTGGTTAAATACAATTCTGTAGGTCCTGCTCAACTAATACAACATTGTATATTTTTGCGATATGACTATTCCAGATGCGCATTTTGCGATATAGATGCTAAAACTATATATTGTGCAGTCCTAACAAAATTTATATAGTTAAGATCGGTGAGTGATTTTAATCCCATTTTCTTTTGTTGACTTAGGGCCAATCCCAATTCTATTTTTGTACCCCTACCCTTTCCCCTTCGCCTTTAAAACCAAGTGTAAAGAGGAAGGGCTTCAAAATGTACCCCTAAGAATTTGGGACAGCACTACAGCACCTGCACACATCATCATATGTCATCGCAATCTCATGCTTCATATGAGATCGGACGATCGCGACTGCTGTAGTTATTCCAGTTGCGTTATTTTTTGCTAAATATTTTCAGGAAATCACTGAAGGCATATATTATGTTATTATAGCGATCTAATGTGACAATAAGATTGTAACTGTACTGTGTATTTACACAGTGGCAGTAAACACACAAAAACAACATTAACATCATAGCAGACAGTGTAAACAGCTCATTCCCTGCCACTAGACATGACACGAATGTCATGGAGTGTCAGAAAATTGTGGAACTGTTGTACTGGAGTTATGATTATGGATTATAGATAGCGAAATTTATCGGTTTTTATTTTAGCGTTTTATTCACATGGTTATGAATATATTAAAACATGTGCTAATTTGTTGTAAAAATTCATACCAATAACAAAAAATACTAATTTGTGGATCTTCTTACTTCCAGATTCACCAATACTGCCCTTGTGGCTGGTGTATTCTGGGAAATGTTCTGACCCCTTGGTTTCAAGTGTTGTCCTGAAAAATCTTCATTCAAAGGGGTATTCATCCCTTCCCCCTTAGCCCTATGCCTTCAAGCTAAAGAGAGATTGGGACACCCCTACCCTTTGATGTGAACGTGCAAAACGAGGGGCAGGGGGAAGGGCTAAGGTAGAATTGGGATTGGGCCTTGCATTAATAACAAACAAAGATTAGTTATTAAATTAAACCTAAAGCACCCCTACCTTCCCTTTCCCTTTGCTCCTGTTTCAACCGTTGCCTGGTTGACCATTTTTAATAAACTGGTTTCACTATTGTGTGGTTGTGGTCAGTCCCATTCATATGCTTGCACTTGATTTCGTGGTTTTAATAAATAAATCTTATTTAATTTATTTAATTACATTGCAAGCACATTATTTCAAAAAGATTGTATTCAACATGTCTAATCTATTGATTTGATATTGTAGCCTACAGATTCTTTAAACTGTAGATTCATTCACCCATGAATAAAAATCAAAAAATCAAAATGTAAAATAGATTTAAAAATAGATTTTCAAAGGAGACAGAAATCTCGTAGGTTTGACGGAATTTTTATATTTCAATTTTAGGACAAAAAAACTTTCTTGCATGCTTCCTGCACACTGCTTTAATTGGGAGGACAGGAAACACAAGAAAAGACAAGCAGATGAAGAGGTAGCATAGCCGGATGGTGAATTTTGTGTTAGAAGAATATTAACACTCTACGCAGGGCATCAGCGAGGACAATATTTCTCACCTTGGCAGCCTAGTGAAGTGACCCAACACCAAAAATAGAGGAGAGTGACACCACAAATGGAAGAATGGGAGGGTGGAAATGATGGTGATGGAAAAGAGAAGGAGGGGAGGATGACCATAAAGAAAAGAATAATGAAAACAGATATCTTTTGTGAAGACACTCAGTAAACACAGACTGACAAAGACTGATGAGAAGAGAAACAGCCAAAAGTGAAATGTTTTATTGCATGTCAAATCTACAGTAGTTCACACAATGTCCACATGTACACTTTTTAACCAAACCAACGCTGCTCTGGCTAACAATGGTCTATAAGACTTTAGAAAAAGTATGATAGCGTAGAACTGGCAAACATTATAATGTGAACAGTTACTAGCAACATGGTACAGGTTACTGTAGTACAGTGTTTCTCAATTCCGGTCCCGCAAGAAACAGGATTGAGAAATGCTGCCTTAGTAAATGGATCTGATCAGAATTTCTTGGATAAATATTGAGTTTTATCATTTGATAATTACCAAAATTGATGTTTTATGAGTATGAGAAAGAACGTGTTTACCTGGAGGCCCATCAAAGCCTTTAGCTCCAGGTGGCCCTCTGGGACCAGGTATTCCCCCTTGAGGAAGTTCGCCTGGTGGACCTATGGGACCTACTGGACCAGGTAATCCATTCACACCTCGCTCACCCTTTATGCCAGGAAATCCATTGCGTCCATCAACACCTATGATGGAACCCATTAGAGCAAAGACTTAAAATCTAGCGTGATTGCCATGTTCAACATGACTCTTGCTAATAATTGATGATCATAACATAGGTGTTAATACCCTTATAAGAAAATTAACAAACTTACCAGGATTCCCTGGAAAGCCAGGAACCCCAGGTTGACCCTTGTCACCAGGCTCTCCTGGTCTCCCCTGACGACCTAGATCACCAGGAGTGGCCCCAAGTACCGCACCGGGTTCTCCCTTTGGTCCTGGTGAACCTGGAAACCCATCTCGTCCTGGAGAACCTTGTAAGCCAATATTTGTTGTTCCTGGTAAACCTGCATCTCCTCTGGGACCAGGGAAACCTAAACATATGTACAAATACAACTCAATGTACAGCTTTAAATTAGTTGTAAGAATTAAAGCAAGTTGGCCATTTATGAGGTGTAAAGGCCATTTTACTTTGAGCATGATTAATTGTAGTGCATTTTGATGTCTGAGAACAGAATGTTGACATGTCACAGCAACTATAAAGGTAATTTTGATGGTTTGTTTGAGTATTAGTAGACTGTCTGCTAAGTATCTGTTGATATGCTCCTTCAACAGACATTTAACTGACTATAAGAAACTTTGCAAGTCAACTTACACTAACCCCTACCCCAACCTAACAGTCTGCTTATAATCTAATGATAATTAGTTGGCATGTAGATGCAAAGTAACTTAAATTCAACAAATAGACCATCAAAATAAAGTGTGACCACTATAAAACCTTTAAAAAGAAAAGGAAAACACTTAATTTATTGAAAGCATTTTTCATGTACAGTAATCAACTGTAATTCTCCAGCACCTGCTTTCAGATGAAGCAGCTTTTTGTGATTTTATTGTAAGCACATGATTTAATGGGTTTGATTCTGAAGATCCTGCGAATTCTGCGATTTTGCGAATTGGCAGTTGTTTGCATCACTTCTGAATGATCCATGATTCTGTCTTGTAAGGCTGGGCATACACTGCAATTTTAGTCCAATGTTGACTCCGATTCTGACTCGTGCAACTTTTCTATGAATTGGGTAGATATTCAGCTTTGTCTTGGATTGTTGAATCAGAGCTATGAACTGATTAAATCTCAGTGTTTGTGCCTTTACTGTCCTGTGCAAAAACAGAAACACACACACACACACACTTCCGGCTTCACAGTGGTGCAGTATTCAATGTTATATTTCAGAATGCATATTCTGTTTTGCACTTTGTTGATATTCTGTTCATATATTTGCACTATACTGATTAGAAAAAAGAAAATATTTTAGTTTAGTTTTTCAAATTTCTTCCTTTCCACCCTAGTTTCACATTCCTTCCCATTAAGTGGTGTAAACACACTTTATACTCAAAGGTAAAAGAAAATGCCACATTTAAGAACACTAATTTGCATAAACCTCAGTTGAGAGTCTGAAATAAATCCTTCTGTGAGATGATTTTGATTTTCTAGGTCTCTTCTTTTGCGATGTATTTGCAGTTTTCATTTGAGAGTTCCCACTGACCTTCGGAGGAGATTTACAACTGATCACAGAGCTGTGTTTCCTTGAAATGAAGTGCATGAAGGTTGTAGCTTTGGCTAAATCGTGATTTCGATTTCGCGTTGAAGTATCGTGCAGTCCTACTTGATGGTAAGTTTAATCATTTATTCATATCATAAGATTGATATATATATAGATTGTGATTCTGGTTAAGTACCAAACTTGTAAACGTGCTATAAATGATCAATTCATGTTCAATGTGAGTGCAGTTTGTCTGCAATTTGCCTCAATTTTATTGTGCTCAGTGTGATAGGGCTGTTAGATTTGCGGTTATATGATGCACCTATTGGTGTTTGAGGATGTAATCCTACCTTGGGGTCCTGGTCGACCCCCAGAGCCTGGTTCTCCTCTTTCACCCTTTGAACCATCAAAACCTGGCCGGCCATTCAATCCTGCAGAACCAACCCGACCCTTTGGCCCTAATATTTGCATAAAAGTGCAATATTATAATTGAAATGCCACATTTGATAAATTTAATATGCAGTACTTTCAAACATTCAGTTACCTGGCACTCCAGGACGTCCAGGGAATCCTTTATCTCCTTGTATACCAGGAAGCCTACAGGGTAGTGGTGTTCCTGTTGACATTCATATTAATTTCAGTAACATATAAAAACAGATGCTGATGGCCCATTCCACAAGCGTATGCTAAAACTAATTCTAATAAATTCTATAATGTTTTCTGCTTTGAAAAACAAAAACTAAAGATGAGTGTTTGTGTTAATTGTTAGTTAAACTTGTTAAAAGAATTAGGTTTAGTGAGTGTAGAAAAAGGAAAGGTGAAAAGGGATTATATGCTGGACCCTAAATAACACAAAGGGTCACTTTTTTCATGGTGGTTGGAAAAATACCACTGAAAAATGACACTTATTACTAATAGAGGCCTTTTCAGCAATATTGTTCAAAAGCAGCAATTTCAGTCTCTTATATACAGTTGAAGTCAGAATTATTAGCCCCCCCCCCTGAATTATAAACCCCACTGTTTCCCCAAATTTATGTTTAACGGAGAGCAGATTTTTTTTCAACACATTTCTAAACATAATAGTTTTAGTAACTCATTTCTAATAACCGATTTATTTTATCATTGCCATGATGACAGCACATAATACTTGACTAGATATTTTTCAAGCTAATTCTATACAGCTTAAAGTGACATTTAAAGGCTTAACTATGTTTAGTAGGTTAACTAGGCAGGCAAGGGTAATTAGGCAAGTTATTGTATAACGATGGTTTGTTCTGTAGACTATCGAAAATAAAAACAGCATAAAAGGGCTAAAAATTTTGACCTTAAAATGGTTCTTAAAAAATAAAAACTGCCTTTATTCTAGCCAAAATAAAACAAATAAGACTTTCTCCAGAAGAAAAATATTATCAGACATACTGTGAAAATGTCATAATTTGGGAAATTTAAAAAAAAATTCAAAGGGCGGGCTAGTAATTCTGACTTCAACTGTACATTGAATGGATACAAAATCCAGTGTGAATTTGTAATTTAAGCTTTCAGATAAATATGTTTTATTTAATACTTTTTCTGTCTACTTTTGGGGTCAAAAGGGCATCAATTTGTGGATGTCAAATAGACGTCAAGGTATTGACATCAAAACGATTAGCATTTTTGATGTATTTAATTTGACATGTTTTTTAATGTTGTTTTGACATCAAGATCCCCGCTAAGTTATCAAGACTTTACCTTAGGAAATATTGGAAGGAAATTAGGTAATTGTTAAGAAGAGATGGGGTTTATGAATCCCTCTAGGTGTACAACAGTTTCTGTTGTAACAATGCATTGCTGCATTGTCTTCCAATATAAGTGAATGTTTAGAGATTTTAAGTAAGGGGTATGCCAAAATATGCTCTGTGGTAATGTGGTACAGTATGTTCTAGCTGAGCAAGGTTAATTAGTATAAGCACTAATGTAGAGCTGGTAATGTGAATTTAAGTAATACACATCTGATGAAGGCATAGTAGGGCTGGGCAATAAATTTGGCATCGGTATGTAAAGTATTGACCAAACTTCATTGTCAATATCGATTAAAAAAATGTTTGGTATAATATTTGGTTATGAAGTGCTATAGTTTTATTAAAATGTGGCTGCTGAGCATACGCCTTGGAAGCAATTCCAATAAGCTTAGGGTGTAAGTTTGTCATTTCCAATAGAGGCACCCAACTTGCACGACAAGCATATGTTGTGCCAGCGGCGCACACGTGACATGCGTGAATTTTCCAGTCACACCTAGTTGAAAACATTTCAACCTTTCAGAATGCTGCGAGCGCACAGCGATTTATATAAGTAGAACTAATCAATCTGCTTCACATGTTGTATAGAATTTACAAGTTTTAGTAACGGCAGACTAATTACCTTAGAAAAACACAGCAAACCCAAATACTACAGTGCTTTTTACTTTTCTCCATAAACTTGTATCACAGCTGCAGCAATGGTTTGTCCGTTTGTCATCCTCTGAGAAAACGCTTGATGGTCGCCTAGTTACAGAAAGACGGCAGCAAGTGCATTGAAAATAGTGATAGAAACCACGCACTTGTCACTTCAGGCCACAATAAAAACACATGCGAAAACGAGTGAAACGTGATATTGTAATAATTTTTTTTTGCAATACCGCCCAGCCCTAGTGCAAGGATTTTTAAAATAGATTTTTTTCTTTGCATTCATCAACAAAACTTAACCCCACATTTCCACCAGCATTTTAGTATAGTAAAACTAATGGCATGCACAACATTTGTTAAACGACTGGCAATGAAAGGCTGTTACATGTGACAACTACTGCTTTTCCAGAATGGCTAACTCATTTAGACATCTCAAGTTATAGAGAAGTCATTATGAATGTAAAATTTGCTCAGAATTAGTGGACGCTTCAGTCAAGTTGCCTGATACAAACAGGTCAGTGGAAATTTGTCATTTATTTTTTACTGGCTGCAGCTCTGGGGTTCGCATCTCACCTCCCTCTTCCAAAGAGGCATCAATAAGCCCCGCCTGCCTACAGCTGTCACCTAGTCAAACAACATGCAAGGGCAAGAGAGATTGCAAGAGAAGCTGTCAATCAATCGGTTGATTAATCAGTTCATTCGGGTAGCATCAACAAGAAATCAAAAGCATAAGCGTGAACATGATTGTATCATTAAAATGCTCATTCAAATATTCCAGCACATTCGGTTAAAGCAGTGCAAATTAAGAAATCAAAAGGAGAACGTGTGCATGGCTGTGTCAAAGCCATTCCATCGACACGAGAGAGAGAGATGGAGAGCATGCAGAGAAGTGAAAGGATCCAGTGATTCAGACATGGGTGTTAAGACTTGTTATGCTTTAATTGCATCTGCTCAATTTCTCTCTGAATGGAATGGCTTGCAAAGAGGTCAAAAAGTTCTGTTAGCACAGGCAATATGCAAAGATTCATTTGCACACTCATTCACACTCACAAACGTTCGAAACCTTGACAAGATAAATTAAAATATAGCAACATCTAAATTGTAGCTTTTTCAACCAAGCTCATCATACACTAATCAGCGTACATTAAATATTAATATTCCTCAATATACTGATATCTGAATATATCCCAGCAATCTAACTGAAAGGCAATCTAAATAAACTGTGAGGAAATGTTATCGCTTGCTTCACAGATGTAAACATATTCATCAAAATTAATGAATGTATAAAATAATGTCATATAAGTTACCATAAACATTGGCTAAGCGTCTTTTTACTTACCTTTAGAACCTGGAGGTCCAGGGGGACCAGGAAGACCATTGAATCCAGGTTCACCTTGCATTCCTTTGAACCCAGCTACACCTGGATAGCCAATACCAGGTTCGCCACTGGCACCTGGGCGACCTTTGGACCCTGGAATACCAGGAAAACCTTTATCTCCAGTCAAGCCAAAACCAGGTTCCCCCTGTAGAAAAAAAAAAAATAGAAATTGAGATCTCATTGGGTGAAAGTTACACTACAATCAGAAAACGAGGACAACATCTCCTTTGGCAGTAACAATAGAGCTTCTGAAAGACAAAAATTAGGAAAAGGGAACATGTTCTCACTGGTAAACCTGGTTGTCCAGGAAAGCCAGGTGATCCATCCCTTCCAGGGCTGTTGCTGAATCCAAGTGGCCCAGGAGGACCCTGCTGTCCCAAATCACCCTTTTGTCCTTTGCCTTGAGGGAAGAAAGCGTTACCCTTCTCCCCTTTACGTCCATTAAAACCTCTGTCACCGCGACGACCCTACAACAAACCAAGACTTGATTAGGTGATTGTGGAATTTACTTGGAAACTTCATTTTTTTCTGAAGACAACCTAGGATTAAATCCACAGAATACAGTATTGTAAATACAAACTTGTAACATTTTAAAACTTACACTGTTTAACTTTCACTACCATGTACCAACCTTTCAATTTAATTTTATTCAATGTTTTCACTCCCAAAAGCTCAGAGCTTTGACACACTGAAGCTACTCACTGAAGGTTACTCACTGAAGCTAAGCAGGGCTGAGCCTGGTCAGTACCTGGATGGGAGACCACAAGGGAACACTAGGTTGCTGTTGGAAGTGGTGTTAGTGAGGCCAGCAGGGGGCGCTCAACGTGTGGTCTATGTGAGTCCTAATGCCCCAGTAAAAGTGAAAGGGACACTACACTGTCAGTGGGTGCCGTCTTTCGGATGAGACATTAAACCAAGGTCCTGACTCTCTGTGGTCATTAAGAATTCCATGGCACTTCTCGTGAAAGAGCAGGGGTGTAATCCCAGTGTCCTGACCAAAGTCCCTCTATCGGCCCTTACGATCATGGCCTCCCAATCATCCCCTTCCACCGAATTGGCTCTATCACTGTCTCTCCACTCCACCAATAGCTAATGTGTGGTGAGCGCACTGGCGCCGTTGTCCTGTGGCTGCTGTCGCCTCATCCAAGTGGATGTTGCACACTGGTGTTGGTGTGGAGAGAACCCCCCTCATGATTGTGAAGCGCTTTGGGTGTATGGCCATACACAATAAATGCGCTATATAAAAAATGCACATTACATTACATTACATTTCTTCCAAGCACTTACTTGAGGGCCCTGTGGTCCAGGAAGCCCTTGGTAGCCATTGTCACCAATTTCTCCCTTCAAACCATTGAGTCCTATGAATCCTGGGAATCCTGGAGGCCCTGGAGGGCCCTGTGCACCAATCGTTCCTCCACCCAAACAGTTGCAGTCACCATTTTCTCCTAAAAGTGCAAAGGGTTAAGTAGGAAAGTACAAAAAAGTAATTTAACATTTAAAAATTAAACACAACACTTCTCATTTCAGTTCTATGACATAGTTCTTTACCCTTAAACCCTTTAATGCCTTGGCTTCCAAAAGGTCCTCTTGGACCAGGCTGTCCAGGAAACCCAGGCAGTGGAGTGACGATGAAGTTTGCTAAAAAAAATTAAATAAGGAGCAACCATCAGCTTAAATCATGATATACATTTGTATCTAAAGATAAGTCATATAGCACTATAAAGAGTAAACTGGTTCTGTTGCTGCAAAGATGTTTTTTTCTCTGATGTATAGCTCTTTATTCTTGCATCTCATGTTTAAATACATTATCACTGCATCCAGAATCGCATACTTCCATACTATATAGTACGTTAAAAACAGAATGCCAGCCAAGTAGTGTGTCCGAATTAACAGAATTCAAAAATCAGTATGCCAGAAGTACCCGGATGACTTACAGCAAGATTCTAAAGTGTGCATTCAATGCACGCTGCGCTATCCCATGATGCCCAGCAAGAAAATTCATGAGTAGGAGTAAAGCAATGTAACTCACACTGGCAGGTCACGTGATCATGACAAAAAAAAACTGATGTAGTACCTCTGAATTCCAATCATACAACTCACATTCATCCAGTATAAAATGTACATTTCGGCCAAGTAGTACGTTTAAATTCAAATGCAGCACTTACTGAATAGTAGGCGATTTCGGACGCAGCCTTTAAACAGTAGTTATGCTAATTATTTTCTTTATTTCCTATTTACACCTGGGGATACTCATCTCGAGGCCTCTAAAGATTGTGCAGCGCTATTGATGCGATCTAAGACATGTAAAGAATAGATGCCAGGGTATCCATAATTCTAGACCAGGCCGTATTCTGAGCCGATGCTTTGGTGGTCATGGAAAAAAGGAGAGCATAAGACTGATTCCTAAAAGACCAAAGTGACAGACTAGTATTCATATTGATCCCGGCGGCCAGCCTGACCACCCGCCGCTGATTTACTTGAACCTGCAGTTCTCTACGATGGACGTCCAGGGTTCTCCAGCCTCCAGCTCCTACACTGCAGCTCTGCACAGGAAGTTTGGCCAGATGAAAAATGGTCGTGCCCATCTGAACCTGGTTTCCCTTGAGGTTTTTCGCTTCACTTTTGTCAATTGGTGAAGTCTGTTCCTTGCCACTGGTTTGCTTGGTTTATGACTTGTGAAGCTGCGCATCGATGGATTTTCTCTTCAGTGTTTGGACTTTCAGTAGTGAAAATTAAACCACACTGACATAAACTAAGCTTCAACTCTGAAAACTAGACTGACACAGTTTTAATTTTCTAGAACTTCGATGTTAAGCTGCTTTGACACAATCTACATTGTAAAAGCGCTACAGAAATAACGAATTGAATTGCATATTTAAACTTATTTAACCCATAAAGCCCGGTCAAAGATTTAGTGGCGACAAAAACTGGAACACAAGAACTAGCAGTGTTGTCACCTCACGTCTGGACAAAAAAGCTGCATGTGAACACAAGAAATGGACAACAGCCATTTAAACGATAATGTACATTCTGCACATGAGAGTGGATGTAACTTTCTATATCTGCAGGTGGCAGTAATCTGTATTGTGATTCCACAAACATATATTTAATAATCTGATAATCACATAATTAGCAAATATTTAAGAAATGTGACAAAATCATTACCAGACTCTTTGTGTTCCGTTTTGACTTGCATTGTTTACTTAGTTTGGTCACTTCAGTTTTGCACCCTTCCTCTGATTCATAACCTAACAGCCAATCAAAGTGCTATTCAATCTCTCTCTGATGTAAGCCTGAAGAAAGGCAACATGTGGAACACAGCAAACTAGCATGACAGGCATTCACCGATGACCTGCAAGCTGTCCAATGGCCAATTGTCTGCTTTGTGTATAGCCATAACAGTACTTTATTCGTGTTTATGAAGTTTTTTTTCACCAAATAATGCACTACAAACTCTGCAATTACACACTATGTATTGATGCACTATGCACTCAATTATCTAGTGCAGGGGTTGGTAGGTTTGGTCCTATAGAGCCTCAGTCCTGTTCCAACCTAAAAAAGCTTATTAATGTCTGATTGTGACAAGAAAGCTACAGGCAGTTGAGTTATCAACAGTGACTATGTTTACAGGGACATCAGTCATTTACCTTAATCTGAATTAGATAATAATATGATTACGTGAGTTGCTTGTTGAATGTTCCTTTCATGATCCTGTTTTACATGTTATAGCTCATATTTCGATTAACGTCATTGCGTGACCACGTTATAAACATTTACCCCGGAGTTTCATTCAGGAACATCTCATGCATGCCCACATGACAAATGAGATATTGGATGTGACTATGAACTGCAGGAAGAGTCTTGTTTTTATGGAGTTTGATACCACACGCCGAATGGGAGAAAAACCTTTGCATTTTGCGGTGTATGTGTCTTTGGTCCTTCACTAACTCGGTAGGTGCAGAGAATAGTGTCAGCTGTGTATGTGTATGGACTATCCTATCACAAAAGGTGGTGAAAAAAGTCCTACATGAATAACCATGTTAATAGTTTATTGCCTTGTTTACTGTAAATTAAATTAATTAATAATTGCTGTTTACATGGCAGATCTTAATTACGTTTAGTCAGAGTAATTATTAAAATCGGATTATTGGTGTCTATGTAAATGTATTCATTGTTTAAAACTAGAATAAACTAGTGCAAAACTGTCGCTTTCCAAGACTGAATTTCCATTCTCCTGGTCTACTGTTTGTACTTTATTATGAGGGAATTTTAGATCCCACAAGCCCCATCACTTTTTATTCTCAGAATTTTCAGTGTGAACACACTACTTTGCACTTTTTATACTTAAAATAGTTTAGACACACCCTTTAGTTTTGACTTGAATAAAAGCATGGAAAATGACCCATGGCTTGAAATAAACAGAAACCTGAAAGGTCTTCTGCAATAGCAATATGACTGAAAACTTCGAATGCACAAGCTCTAATCTGATCAACTAATAAACGAAGAGTGCAATGCAGCGGTTCAGCGGATTACAGAGAAAATTAAGGCTGATAAGCTTTTATCTTTTTGACCACTTATATCGATGTCTTCATTTGCAAAAGCTCACATGAAGTGCCTGGTGGTCCAGGTAGGCCAGGTGGTCCAGAAAGGCCCTGACTTCCTGGAAGGCCTTCAGAACCATAGGAATCTCGACCTGGGTTTCCTCTTTGTCCTTTGGGTCCACGACTACCGGGGAATCCAGGGGCACCTGGACGACCTGAATAGATAAGCAAAATTCATACAGTTATGTTATATTCAGGGCCAGATTTTCATTCAAACAGTATCGTTATTAACGTGTAGTAAGAGGCGGAGTCAAGCTGTATAATGGACTCATGACTGAACTGCTGTCTCGTCCATGCACCCATGCAACCCTGCTCTCTCATATCCGGTCATATTGACACAAAAAACTGTCTAAAAACTATAGGTGCCAGGTAACTGCTATGAATTTGTATATCTATGCTTAGGGACAGTTCATCACACAGAATGTGTTCTGCCTTTCCAGGGCGCTACTTTTCTATTTTTCATTGTAAATGTGTTTGATGGCATCTTGTATCTTTTAAAGCACTGTGCATATGAGTGCTGCATTTTTTAGATGCTATGTTAGGTTAAAAGATCGTCAACTTTCACACGCAAAGCAGCAGAGGCTGGGTCAGTTGGCATTTCTGTGTGGAGTTTGCATGTTCTCACCGTGTTTGTGTGGGTTTCCACCGGCTGCTCCGGTTTACCCCAAGGTCCAAAGACATGCGCTATAGGTGAACTGAATAAACTAAATTGGTTGCAGAGTATGTGTGTGTGAATGTGTGTATGGGTATTTCCCAGTGATGGGTTGCAGCTGGAAGGGCATCGGCTGTGTAAACCATATGTTAGATAAGTTGATAGCTCATTCCACAGCGGCAACCCCTAATAAATAAAGGGACTAAGCCGAATGAAAATGAATGAATTAATGAAGTATTTCACAAGTGCTGTTTAACAGAGATATTTGTTCAAAGCAAAATTTTAATAACTAATTTCTAGTAACTATATTCTTTTTTCTTTGCCGTGAAGACAGATTAAATTATTTAGTTTGACTAGACAAGTTAGATGAGTTGATAAGGCAAGTCACTGAACAACAGTGGTCTACCAATCAAGAAAACAAAATTCTTCAACTATGGGCACTTTTAGCCTTGTAAAGTTGAGTAAAAAAAACTTGTTCAAAATTAACGTAACATATATAGCCTCATAAGTTTAAACAATTTGCCTAGTTTTAAGATCTGTAAGAGGACAAACTTAGGTAAGAAGAGAAACATTTTTTCTATCGTGAACTGAACAAATGTCAATTCCAGCAGATCTCAATATAGAGCTTATTTCAAATTATGGCAGTCAATTAACCAATCTTTCCACAATATATATATATATATATATATATATATATATATATATATATATATATATATATATATATATATATATATATATATATATTAATTTGTCAATGAAATAAATTTGTTGTATGCTGAATTGTACACCTGTCACACTTTAAAAGTTTATATTAATTTGGTTAAGAGCTTATTAGAAAATAAATAAACTGAATTTGTTTATTAAATAGAGCATGAACTTATACATTGTGAAAACACTTTTACTGTGTGATGAGAACTTTTTAATTATTTTTTTAAAAATGTGTGTGGTGATGGAAATGACAGTGGTGGAAATGACATTTCAACAGGTTATTGTGAAAAAAATAGCTTCACCGATTAGCTTTGAATTGATACTAGCCTTTCATGTCTACAAAACACTCGTATTTACCTTCATTTTGTTTAGTTTTTAGAAACATCTTGATTTTTCTTCAAGTGTTGTTAATAAAAATTTAAATTCCCTCCATCTTGAAGATGTTCCCATGATGGCACTATTCATTTTCTTAGAAAACACCTCAATAATCTTTCATACAAACTTTTTAAAGCAATATTACAGTGTTGTGGTGGAAATGACACGGAAACTGTGTGGCTGTCACGATTACTAGTGATCGTACTTCATAAGATAGCTGGATCTCACTCACAGTAACTTATGGACTACAAATCCACCATTTCTGGACTACATTTTTATACATGCACTCCGCTCACACACACACATGCTTCCTCAACTAGACTGATTACACTTGCACCACCTGAAGATTGTCAGAGACTGATTACACACACTATATAAGCAGCACACTCACTCATTCCCTTTGCCGAGTCTTGTTCATCTGCCTAGTGACATTACAACGTGTTTCCTAGTCTTGTTTTCCTGTGTTTAGACCTTAGCCTTGTTAACCGTTTGTCCTATTTTACCGCCTACCTTACGACCTCTCTCCTGTTATATTGAGTACGATTCTGGACTGCCTTTGTACATCTGTTTGCACCCGTGTTGACCATTGCTTGCCTGACTTTGAATAAACCTGCACGTGGATCCAAACTCCAGTTGTCTGTGTTATAGCTGCAACTATATTTTGTATAAAAATAATATTGATAATAGTCTCACATTAATAACTATAAAATATTTACATTTTTTCACCAGCGCTTCATTAAGATACATTAATAGATACCAGATAAATAATATTTTAAAATGTTTAAAACTCTGTGTGCGACAAGGTGAAAACAGTAATTTTGACACCTAAAAGGAGGTTGAATAATATGAAAAAAAATATAATAGAAAGATAGTAATTTTTTAGGTTTTTAGGTAAAGTAGGCTTTATTGTTAGTTTGACAAAGAAAAAGGAATTTGATATATTTTTTTGGATATATGATCAAAGGATATAAAAGTGCCCGTAGTAAAAAACTTACCCATATATATATATATATATATTCCATCCAAATTAAAATAAATAAGACTTCATTTAGAAAAAAATGATAAAAGGAAATTCTGTGAAAATGATGAAGATTCTTGCTCAGAATCTTGGCAAATAATTGAAAATAATTTAAATTTCAATAATTTATTTTTAATTTTGCATTCAACTTTCCATTAATCAACACAAGATGACGCCAGTATATTCAGCTTAGTCACATACCCTCACTCTTGTCTAGTTTCTATCCCAGTCACAACTTTTGGTTGGAGAGAAAATCTGAGCTCAGAGATCTTTTGAAACAGCACGATAAACAAACAAACCTGCCAATATCTGAATACATCAATAAGTGAACTCAGGAAATCCTCCTCCACAATAGTAGCATGATTTGAGTCATAAAGCATTCAAATGTAAAAGCACGTCTATTACCTGTGAAAAAAGCAGGTGGTCCAGGAGCACCAGGTTGACCAGGAAGCCCTCCATAACCAGTATCCCCAGGAAACCCTGGATATCCAGGAAAGCCACGATCACCTTTAGAACCTAGAAACAAGTGAATTAAATGATCACTGAAATCTACACCTGAAAAATAACTTAAGTTAGTGCATCTTAGATTGAACAAAAATCACAAAAAAGCAACATTGGAGCCTGACATATCAGCAATTGCTTATACCTTTAATTTCAAATACCGGAGAGTCCACAATTGGCCCAGGAGGACCTGGATCTCCTATGTCGCCCTAAAAATGCATATTTAAAAAATGGTGTTATTTACTACATTTCTGTTTATGATCAACTGTGCGTTTTTCTCATTCTGTGTTCTCACTTTTGGGCCATTTAAACCTGGTTGGCCAGGAAATCCCTCACTCCCAGTGAAGCCCTACAGAGGAAACAGGAGATGATTGGTGTACAAGGATATAGAGAAAAAAAAAACAGTTTGGAGTAAAGCATTTCATATCTTACTTTTCTCCCAGGAAGTCCAGGAGGACCGTTGAGACCAGGGGGACCCTGCCAGTTTGAATTACACATGAAAAGAAATTTTAAGTGAAAAATGTGTATTTTATTTTCAAATACGTACTGAATCAAACACACAAACATGAAATCTAGGACTGCATGATACTGGAAAAAACTGACGTTGCAATATTTTGCATTTCTGCAAATAATAGCGTGATGTGAATTTAATTTTTACAAAATGACTTAAGTTGCTGTTTGGAAATAATTCATAATTTTACATTGATTGGGACGTTTTTTAGGATCTGCATAAAACAACAAATAACAAGTTAAGCCCAGATGAAAACAACCAAACAAAGATAAAAAAAAAAACATGAAATAAACACTGTTTCTTGGTTTTCGGTAAAATCTAACAATATTTGAGTACAGAAATTTAATTATCAAATCTAAAATAACTCATCTTCATTTTATAAACAAAATTAATCTTTGTAAAAGCACCAAAACCTTTTAAAAAATATTTTCAATTCGCTTTGAATCCTACAATCATAGGCCTTAAAACACATCCAAGTAAAAATCTTTCACATTGTTAAGCCCGGGGCAGATCACACGACTTTGTCGCGATTTCATCAGCACAATTTCCTTGATGTAGGGTGTTGTGAGGATTCGTAAATGACAAATGGGCGTCATGACACAAGATTCAATCTTTACTTCTCCTATAATGTGGCATAGTTCACGACAACCGAGACCATGCCTGTGACGCCTCATGACACCACTGCAGAAAGTCTAGCTTCAAGAGTTCACACTTAGCTCATGATTTATACATAGCTTGTTTGGCATGCTGTCCCGGGAGAGAGTCCTGAGCTCAAAGGATCCTCGAGCCCAGGGCTCCCCCCCTTTTGCAGGGCGAGTGGAGATTGAGCTCAGGTCTATCTCAAACTCCCCCGCTGCTGAGGCCAAGGCGAACTTCCTGAGAGTAATACATTATAAAAAAAAGGTTTAGGCTTATTTTATCTATAATATAGAGCACATTTGGATGGTGGGAGGAAACCGGTGAACCCGGGGAAAACCCACGCGGACACGGGGAGAACATGCAAACTCCACACAGAAATGCTAGATGGCTCAACGAGGACCCAACACCATTGGTATTCTTGCTGTGAGGCAACAGTGCTAGTCATTCTGGATAAAGGAGGAAGAAGGGAAGGAGGGGGGTTTCTTCCAGACAATGATAGTTGTGGAAAGGAAATGAGGATATATATATATATATATATATATATATATATATATATATATAGTGATTTGCGATCCTTTGATTGGCGGATCATAATTAGCTGATGTGGACCAGCTGGGTCAATCATGAGCACATGCTCCTCTCGAAATTAGTTTAAAATTAAACTTCACATGTTTAATTTTTTTCTCATTCTTCACGACAAGTTCTGTCACGTGGGTGACACTGGGCAATAGGAGCACATCATTTCTCGGTTATCTATTTACTTATGGGTGGGTCACGGGTGTATAAGATCAATCATTGGTTATGCAAACTTTACCTTTTATGAAATATTAAGGTGTTTTAAGCAATTTTATGCATGGCACTGTGTAGCTAAAATGCATGGCACTGCGTAGCTCGATGCTGCACTTCGCCGACGAGCGATGTGTGATCCCCTTCAGCCTTCCAACAGATTTTGTTCTTCTGAGGTAATCTGGGAACATGTTCAGTGCTGCGAATGCATTGCAAAAGCATTCCTGCTTATTCAAATTTGTCATTAGTAAAAATAGTTTAAAATAAGCTTCTCTGAAACTGTGAATATTTCACTTTAATTTTATTTAGGTTAGATTATTATTTTATTTAACAAACCAACCTCATGGCAATTCGTGTTTTGGCGAACATAGCGCACTTGTTTTGAAGCACACCACCTCAGATATTATTTGTTATTGTTGTTTATAGATGCAGTAACTGACCAACAAAAGATGCATTAAAATTAAGATTAAAATTATAGCACATTAAAATTGTTTCAAAGATATATTTTGTTTCAAGAAAATTATACGAATTATATTATTGTTTGTGCCGGTATACTACTCAACTATACAGGTGGATGATTTGTTTCACTCCGTGGAAAATAAGGATCTAATAAATGCATTACTGTGATTGTATCCCAAACATCTGTCATATATTTGCATTTTTTTTTGATAAGTCATTATTTAAAAGATTATGTCTTGAGCATTTGATTTTTCCTTGCTGCTGCTTATGTGCTTTCATTTTCTCTGTCTCACTCGCGGCAAGTTCAGGGGAGAGATTGTTTAATAAGCAACCCAATGCAGAAAAATATATATTTAGATTTCAGAGAAAATATCTTAATATTAAAAAGGAATCATAAGTTTGATCCAATTAATGTCGTAACGAATGCCTTAAATAATGTAACTATTAGTTGTCTGCAAGCATCAGTGTTTATTGAGATTGAAATAAGATTGAGATAAGAAATATCGTTATAGCAACACTTGTGACTGCTTTGGGAAATTACACTCGTTGTAGACGTCACGGAATAACCGATTGTGAAGGAACGTGTAGTCTAACACATTTGTTACCAACGACAAGTCAAGTCAATTCTATAATAAAAAATAAATTAAAAAATACGCATTATCTGACATGGTGATTTTCGTAACCGACAATAAAAAAATTGTGTGATCTGATCGGGGCTTTAGATTACGGTTAAGATTTACAATGCCTCCGCAAATCATGTGTACTTCACAATAAAAAATGCAGGGTTCCACACAATTCATTAATGTTGTTCCAACACATATCAAGTAGACTTAAATTAAAACAATTAAGCTGTCCCAGAAAAATATCAAGAAATGTGTTGTTTCAGCTCAAGTAGTTTGAACAAACAGCAAAATCTTTATCTTTTCTTTTGAGAGGGAACTATAGTTTCTGGGTAACTATAATCCCAACATGACTGTGACAGATGCACACATTATGATAGCGATGCTTTAAGGATATATTGTGAAGCCCTGATAAGATCTGATGCAAATTTTTTTGAAACAGGACCTACCCTTCCGCCTGGCAAGCCAAGGATTCCCTTTTCTCCAACCTCGCCTGGATAACGAAATGGGTTCTACACATGGGCAACAAATGAAGAAATGTGAGCGCTAGTTTCATATAACATGTTAAACAGAAGTAATATTTGATTACTCACTACTGGTCCTTGTCTCCCAGGAAGACCTGGATTACCAGCATAGCCTTTATCACCCTTTAGGAGAAGAGAGAGAGATAGAGCAAGAGTTTGTAATTTTTAAAACACATTTTTCCATATGACTGCTCCTCAAAAAAAGATTTGCTGATTTTATATTTTTTTGTGAGAAATGTTGCATAAAACTGATTACTGGATGTGAGAAAAATGTGTAAAACAAGACCAGAAACATTATAAAATATTATGAATAAAGCATAATGATACTGCATCTCTATGGTCAAGAAAACTTACACAAGGTATACTTTATGCAGCATGCACAGGTTTCAGCTAAAGGCGTATTCCCATTTAAATGTGTGTTTTGGGCTTCAAAATGCAACAATAAATTTTAAACTTTAATTACAGTATATACAGTACAGGTTATACAGTATATTTCAGCGTTGATTAATGTCACCTAAATCAGTTTTAATAAAACAGGATTGAACAATGCAGGATTTTTTTTTAAGATAAATGAAAAGTTCATAATAAATGTATTTAAGCTCAAACATGGATTAACAGAATATATAGTTTTAAATATGTTGTTGGAAATAACTAATCTTTTACTGTTTATATCATAAACTTTAATTAAACATAGGTGTGTTGAAGCAGGGCTGGAACTAAACTCTGCGGGGTTGCGGCCCTCCAGGAACTAAGTTTGACACCTCTGCTGACTGAACCTAAAAAAATGCTTTTATGTTATATATTTTGCTACAAACTTTACCAAATGAATAGTCCAGATGCAAAAACCTCTAAGTGTCGTCTGAAATTTTCATCAAAAATTGTAATTTTTCTCAGCCTCCTTTGTTTTATGTTGTGTTATTTCACTTTATACAACAGTTCTGTCTGGTTCTCAAATCTGATTAGCTGATAGCCGAGCGATATTCTGCAATATCAGAGCTCCTTACCCTTTTGTATTACTCTGCCCACATAAAGCGACAGCAGATCAATAAACTCACAACAGTTTGATAAATATTGCAGCTGTTGGACAACATAATGTACTTTTGAGGCTTTTATAGGTTAGAATGTAGTAGTTTAGATTGCTATTATTGCTATATAAACTATGCAGTTCATTTATAAGGATAGTGCCTATTTTAAATATTTATAATTTCTGAGAGACAGCGCGTCGGCAGGAATTAGCATGTCGTACTAAGCAGAGCAAAGACAGTTGATGTTGTCCACAAGATGGCAACAGAGACATCATAATAAGCCCTTAAAGGATAAAATATCAATGTATTTTTCAACTACAGCTGATCAAATCATTATCAAATTGGTAAGTGACATTCTAAGATGATCTCACTCTTGTATGTTCTGTATTTACTCCATATAATTGTAGTGTATTGAGTGTAATATATGACTCGCATATCAGGAATGTATGTATTTTGTGTTTACTCTTTGAGTAACCCTGCATTACTTTTTGGTTGTCCATCTGTTTGTTTCTAATGAGTCTCCTATTTTTGTTACTGTATGCTAGTTCAGTAAAAAAAAGGAAAGAAGATATGCTGCATGTGTTTAGCGTTTTTTTTTTTTTACCTATCACAAACATGACAGTAATCTGGTAGAGTTTGCGTTGCTTTGGCTTTTTCAGGGTTAATTATTGTGATCTCCTGATTGCAACAAAGAAATAACGTGAAATCTCTGTAGACTGATGACATGTCATGCTGTTCAGCCTTATAATCTTAGAATGTGAGCAAAATCACCTGTTTTGTCATCATTTTAGACATTATGCTAGAAAATCATTTAAAGACTAGCTCTGCTGTGACGTAGGTGATGTAGTAATGGTTTCTGCTGTTTTGACGCCAGCTGCAGATGTGAATGAATGGCAGAAGAAAGTAGTTGCTCATACAAAAGGGTTTTTAGACTGTCCGTGCTTGATTTCGTTTTTTATGAACGATTATGCCATCGAACTGTTGTATAAATGCAATATCACACTTGTTGCAGTGCGATGTGGCTGTATATCATCCCTGGTAAAACACTAAGGCACGCCTCCCCCACCAGTGCCGATATACAGCCATATCGCACTGCTACTCGTGTGATATTGCTCATTTAAAGAACATAAAAAGGACTTGTTGTTTGCTATGAAGTGATGTTATTGAACCTAAACAAAGGAGCCTGGTAACAATTCAGACGACATTCAAATATTTTTGCATCTGAACTCTTTAAATATAAAAGAACGATGTTTGGTGGTAAAAAGTGAAAGCAAAAATATATATATATCCAAACACTAAAATTAATAAATGCTGGGCAAAAGACACTTCTTTTATTAGTCATATTACATGATATTACATATGTTGAAGTGAAATCTTGAAGTATATTGTAAAACTATACTTAAGTCAGGACTAGTAATTCCTCCATCTTCCAAATAAATAAATAAGACTTGGTGCAAGCACAATTTTCTGATGCTTGAAATGAGCAAAACTGGACAAAACTGTGACCATGACAAAAATAAGTTATGTTTTATGGTTGTATATTATGATATTAAGTGCATTTTTGATGAGTGAAAAAGTTTTTAGTTAATTCTGAGTTCACGATTTTGATCCAAACCAATCTGCCATCTGCGAACACTCCTATAAAAGCATTTCACACATGTGATTGAAATCACCACCCAATATGAACCTCTTATGAACACCACCCTTTACATTCACCACAGGGTACAATATAGGATGCATAAACAGAAGCTGGACGTCATCCCCCCTCCTGAACAGCAGATGAGATGATCAATATTTAAAAGGGCAATAAAATTATAGAAAAGAATTTGAGGAAGTCGCTGGTGGATGAACAGATGGCATCTACTGTCGATCCTCACAACTTTGTTTTCCTCACAAACCTGAATTCCTTTGTCTGCTTTTGGAATGCCAACAAACTCCACAACTCCATTGACCAGTGGGTGGCCTGGGTCCCCGGGCGGGCCCACGTCTCCCTGGATACGGTAACCAAGGAAGAGAGATTTTTTTTTTTTACATGGGACAAGATGAGGTGTGATGGGGAGGCTGTTTTGGAGACGGTTGCGGCGGAGCATGTTGAAGAGGTTTGCATGTGGTGAGAAGTTTTTTTGGGGAAAGGGGATTAAAAAAAAAGACATTAAGAGGACTGTGACCACTGCCGGAGCAGCGGGGAGATCAGGATGAGGAGTGGATGAATGGAGAATAAAGGAACTTTTGGGAATAAACCACACACAATGACTGAATGTCTGCCCACTCACTATAATCTTTATGCAGTTAACCCTTGTGTGTTGTTCAAACTGACCAAGTTGGTGGCTGTTTTTGCCCCATTGACTTCCATTATATGTTTTTTTATTGCAAAAGCATGACACCATATAATCATGCATTCTTGATTGTTGTTGGTTTTCCCTGTTGGAAATAGGTAAAATTTGACATTTTTACTGGTGAACGATAGTTGGCAGCATTAACCCTTTAGATAGGCCTGTGCAAAAAAGTGTCTGGCTTTTATATGGAGTTCTTATGGAGCAAATTATAGCATGCATGCATGAATTCAATTACTATCAGGGTTCAACAATTAGGATTGTTTCTAGTGGTTCAGATTTTTACTTGCCCTGCCAAAATTTCCACTCGGCTTACCAAAAAAAAGTGAATAGCTATTTCTAACTACATATTTTAAATCATGTATCAAAAATAACGTCTGCGAAAAATGTTAATAAAAGTATAACGAGCAAAATTCAAAGTGTTATGCAAACAAAAGAGGAAATTGTGCAAGTATATTATTGTAGTTCTAAGTGATTAAACATAAGATGGCTCACTTGCCAAACTGACAGCAAATTGTGCAAATCATCACTTAATTTTGTTGTTGTGTTGTAAATGTTTGTTGTAAATTGATAAATGTCTACTTTAAAGATGTTAGAAACAGACACCTTTTTGCCTCATAATTTGGTGTTGCTGCCATGTTGCAGTCTCTCCGCTGTACTGGTTGTTACTACAGGTAGGTTAATAAAAAAAGAGAAGGTAGAATTCTAAGGCTTAAAAGGACAAACTGTTTCTTGATTCTAAGGCCCCGTTTACACTAGTGCGTTTTAGTTTTAAAACGGCGTTTTAGAATGAAAATGATCCATGTCCACACTAGCGTTTTACCCAACGGTTCTGAACTGCTCTCCATCCACACCAAAACGACTGAAACGCAAATCACGTGACCACACACACACTCTCTGGCATGCGCTGCAGCCTACCAGATGAGAGCTTTGCTCGTCGGACTGCTCATCAAGCATCTCCCGCTGGATCTAATCTCACTATATTTGTAAACGTGATATTTCATTCATCTTGTTGTTTTTATCTAACGACATATTTCCTGACTTTGGCCTTTTGAATCTTTTGCTTTTTCACAGGTAACATGTTTTGGCAGAGCGAAATTTTGTTATAAATAGCCATACAGTGAAGATGACGCTCATATATGCAGCACAACACCTCAACATTTCTGCTTTCTGTTAAGTTGCTAATATCAAAATTAAAATAGTTCCTTATATCATGTTTTCATTTTATTGTTGAGAAAGTGAAACAACGTAGCCAGGGTGATGTGAATGAAGTTATAAAGTACACTGTTCCCTATGAAGATTTACCCATGTCCTCGGGAGTCTGTTTTCCATATCAAATTTGCGAAGTCTGAACTTACAAGGATGCAGGAGGATGCAGAACTGAACTGAGTGTAACATTAGGCTACTTAATATTAAAGAAAAGCCCCAATCAGATAAGAGAATGTCGGCAGCCCCGCCTTCATTTTCAGGTGTCTCCGTTTTCCCCTATCCACACTGAGACGGAGCAGCAGCGTTTCAGAATGAAAACGGCCTCTCCAGCGTTTCCAAAACACTCCGTTTTGGCGCTCGAAATCTCCGGCGTAGTGTGGACAGATGGCGTAATTGTAGCAAATCTTTTGCGTTTTAAAATGAAAACACATTAGTGTAAACGGGGCCTAAGACTGTATTTGCAAGCAATTGACAAATAGTCACAGGCAAATTAAACTTTTAAATAAACTATTGACAAGGCAGCATGGCCCAATTGGGCCAATAGTAGTTCTGTCTTCTGAGCATCACTCACGTCGGCACCGAGCAGTCCTTATTGTTGAGCCTTGCTATGCTTACTATGTTCTAACAGCCGAGCTGCTTATTTGGTTTATTTTCTCAGACATATCAAGGTATGTATGCAAAGGTCTCACTCTCTCTCTTTTGTTCTCAAAAACACACTATACTCTTAACACAATCTCATCCATAACTTTTTGATTTAGTACAATTTAGTATAATTTACTTATCCCCCAATGACGCTAGGGGAAAGTTTGGTTGCCACGCCAATTCATACGAATTAGCCACTAAACTGACAAATGTAAAATAGTAACGTTTTCTTGTGAGATCAAGCTGATACTCCATATAGAAAGCTAGAAATTAAGCTTTTTTTTTGCACTGCAACAGATGATCAACAGTAAAAATGACAAATTTTACCTCTTCCCAACAGAGAAAACCACCAACAATTAATCATAATTATATTGTGCCATGGCTTTGCAATCAAAAAATGTCTTTACAATAGACGTCAAAACAGCCACTAACATAACGAAAGGGTAGTAAATTTCCCCAGAGTGTATTGTTGAGGGATTTTTATTTGTTTATTTTTTTTAATTGTAAAGCATTTTACCAAAATATGTGTCAAAATAAGATTTATCATCAAAAATATATATTTTTTGCTAAAACACAGAGAAACACAGTGGCCAAATTAAGACTCAAAATCACCCCAGAGCGGATGAAAACATCCCCAACATCACACAAGGTTTACCCACCACCACCCATTATATTGTCTAATATTGTTTTTCTCTTATGCTGTTAAGGGGGTCTAAATATGTCAATTCCACTTAATAGAAAGTCAAAACATTCCAGACTTTTTTTTCTCTGGACTGATGATGTGGTTCAACGCTCCTCTCTCCTCCAACATTCACCTCCCAGCCTTGCAGTGCCCCTCCCTGGGTTGGCATCACCGCTCTGTGTGTTACCTTTTCTCCTTTGTTGATAGTGCTTATTGCTGGTGCGTTAAACTGAACGGACGGATTGCCCCTGACTCCTTGTGGACCAACATCCCCCTGAGATCCACAACACAGACATTTGACATATTAAAGCCCAAGCTTTTACAAGAAAGAGTGAGAGAGAATGTGTATAAATGGAAGAAAAGCAATAAGAAGAATGAGTGGAAACAATGCAAAAATCTAATTCTTTAGAAGTATTTCTATTTTTTTCAGTAAAAAAAAACAAACAAATGCAAAAAACATTTATATCTTAAGTGCATTATTCTCACAGCATTGGCAAATTTGGGTTTTTACCAAATGTAGAACATTTACCAAATTTAGCAGTTAGCTACCCACAAGAAAAAATGGTAAAAAAAAAAAACATTGATTAAAAAAATAAATGAAACCTTATCCAAAAGACCCCATTTCATTGCTTGATGAATGTATTTTCCTCATGTTGCCTTTAATTCCTGTTGCAGCAAGACTTCATTGATGTTTGATAAGTTTCGCTTAAGCCACAGCAACAAACCTTGATTTGCTACAATATTTGTTGGTCAGTAGTCAGTTGTAAACATCATTCTAGAGGGCATTTAAACAAAGAGTTCATGCTAAAATAAAACTGTTAGCCCCCCTGAATTATTAGACTACTTGTTAATTTTTTTTCCCAATTTCTGTTTAACGGAGAGCAGATTTTTTCAACTCATTTCTAAACATAATAGTTTTAATAACTCATTTCTAATAACTGATTTATTTTATCTTTGACATGATGACAATAAATATTATTTAGATATTTTTTCAAGACGCTTCTATGCAGCTTAACGTGACATTTAAAGGCTTAACTAGGTTAATTAGATTAACTAGTCAAATTAGGGTAATTAGGCAAGTTATTGTATAACGATATATATATATATATATCAAATATACATATCAAATATAGCTTAAAGGTGCTAATAATTTTGTCCCTAAAATGGTGTTTAAAAAATTTAAAACTGCTTTTGTTCTAGCCAAAATAAAACAAATAAGACTTTCTCCAGAAGAAAAAAACATTATCAGACATACTGTGGAAATGTCCTTGCTCTGTTAAACATCATTTGGAAAATATTTTAAAAAGCAGAAAATTTTTTGAAGGGGGCTAAAAATTCTGACTTTAACTGTATATGCTGTGTATAGATCTTGCAGAATGCTGACATTTAAGTCCGGACAACAAAACCACTTAAAATTTTATGATAACCGCTCTAGGATTGGCTAATATAATTTTTATATGATTTGGCTATTATATTAAAGTTGAATATGTGTTTAAGGGCCTAGATCTGTCCATGTCCAGGACGGCCAGTGTCCTGCTGTTTAGCTCCAACTAGCTTCAACAGTATCTATAGTAATATCTAGTAGAGCTTGATTAGCTGGTTCAGGTGTGTTTGATTAGGATTGGAGCTAAACTCTCTAGGACACCAGCCCTCTAGGACCGAATTTGGACACCCCTGGCCTAGATTATATGTTGAACTAGTGGATGAACAGGATGCATTGCCAAGATCATGATTCAGTGAATTTTACTGTGTAAAAGAATACTTTAATATTTATAATACATTATAAATCATTCTGTTATAAGAGGATCTGTCTTTGTATTAGTCTGCTATATTTTATTTTCCTATGAAGTTGATAAGTGTTCTTTGTGTATGTGCGTGTGTTTTTTATTGGTGGAGACTAGAAGAGAGACACTTTTAGTGAAGAGCAGCCAACTTAAATGGGCCCAGCGAGGAGCAGTCTTCTGAGCCCACCGGAAGATGACCTGCCCCATCGTGCTTGACTGTTCTTTCACTGCCGAGAACCCCTGAGTAAAGTTCCCAACAGTGTTATTGAATTGACCAGCCTGGTACTTGTACGGACCCCAGTTGCATTGGCGTATCAATTGCCTGAAGCTGTTGGCAGTGTTTCATGTTCTCCGCCGGTCTCAATCGATGTTGGAACAAAAGCACATGCTTGTCGGGATGGACAGTATGGCTGCGGTAACGTATATCATTCATACTGTATGGGCAACATACAGTACGCTCCAGCTGCATGCCTCAGCTCACTTGCCATGTGCTTCACTGGAGTGACACACAGTTAAAATTGTTGAATGCTGTTCACATCTCAGGCGAGCTCAACCATGCAGCCAATGGGCTGTAACAGCAGCTCATGCTCCCAGGAGAAAGGAGACTACCCTCACGTGTGATCCATAGATGCCTAGGTGACCTACCGGCTATGGTGGTTTACACCATCACTCAGGCTAGAGCAGTCTCTACAACTCTACGCTACTTCTCATCGAGAATACCCCTGGACATACCAGATCAGTGTTGTGATATCCTTCGTTCAGGATAAGTTGGAGTGCATGCTGTCTCCCTCCACACTAAAGGTTTACACTGTTGCCATCTTTGCTCACCATAAAGTGGTGGCTGGCTCGCTTGGGAAGCAAAACCTCATCATCCGGTTCCTCAGAGGTGCAAGGCAAATAAATCCATGCCTCTTTCATGCTCTCTTGGGGTATCTCTGTAGTCTTTGGGGCTCTGCAGAGAGATCTGTTCAAGCCACACGACTCAGTACTTTTAGGATTTCTGTCTATGGAGACTGCTCTACTGGTTTGTGGTATCGATCATGAGGGTGGAATTCAGGCCGGCCACAGGTTACTCTGAGACCTGGACCAGCTATGTGCCCAAGGTTGCTACTACTCCCTTTAAAGACCTGGTAGTGAACCTGCAAGTGATGCCTGTGGAGGAGGCAAATTCAGCCCTTTCATTGCTGTGTACTGTTTGCACACTCTTTATCTGTCATGGTGGTCGGCAAAAGGGAAGTGCCTTTATAAAGCAGAGTTTAGCCCATTGGATAGTCGATGCCATCACCCATGCATATCATGGCCAAGGCTAGTCATGTCCCTGGGAGTGAGAGCGCACTCAACAAGGAGTGTTGCCTTACCTTGGATGTTACCATACAGCCCGTCTCTCTAACAAACACAAGTAGAGCTGCAGGCTGGGTGACACCTAATACATTCACAAGAATTTACAATCTTACAGTAGAGCCAGTTTCCTCCTGGTTGCTAGGTAGTACCAATCAATTTAGTTTCTAGGAAACTAAGCTCAGTGTCAAAAAACACTTGCTGCACCTTTCTCCCAAACCCGGAGATGTGTGCCCTTATTCTGCACTGCTAAGCGAGTTCCTCATCTGGTAAACCCTAGGGAGTTTCTCAGAGGCCCCTAGCACCCTATGCAGCAAAGAAGCCAGGTGCATGGCCCGTTAATTTGTTTGGTATGCCTGTTGGTCACCCCGCATTTTGGGTATCAGTGCCATTTATGCATGATCCTTGTTTGTTAATCTTATTTGCGTCATTCAGCTATGGTGAAGTCCCCCTTCTCAGGCGGACCCGCGGAACTAGGGTTACGACAGTAGCCAAGACATTCTTACACTTGATAACCTTTGTCATAGTAATAATGACTATGGCTGTAGTTATACATTAGTATATGAAACACATAATGCTTTTTAAATTATTTTTACTAAAACGTGATTTCATAGGATTTGCAATCAGATGAAATGTGTAATCAGAAAAAAAACATTTACAGAATAACTTCAGTGAACCAAAAAGATCACTCTGGGTCCTACTGGAGACCCCAATTCCTAGGGTGGGACTTGATTTGTTAAAGTTAATGCTTTGATAAAATTTTACAACACTTTAACGTGTGCATATCACATTCAAAAATTTCAAGAATGCATGTTTTGTCACTTTAGATAAAAATAAGAAATAAATCATATTTCAAATGACATTAATTTAATGGTGAAATTAAAACAATAAATGCCTTTAAAGGTTTGGCAGATCACAGAATAATTGCCTCAACTGAAATGACAGGACAGAATGCAAATAAATGGTCTTTGTTACTAAATGCACGAAATATAGCCCAACATAAACAAAAATAAATATCCAGTGCCACATGAAATCACTCAATAAATGTTTCAACAGCAGAAAGAAGTCAATAAAACAAACAAACAAACAAACAAAAAAACAAACAAACAAACAAATCTGTTTTATATTCACATTTCTGCAAGGTTTTGGTACATCAGATTGGTAAAGCCATTGTGCAAAAGATTGTATTTCAGCTGTGGAAATATTATTTTGCACTTAGATTAGGACAGTAACGTAAAATGTCATTACTTTAGTATACCAGATTCATAAAAAAGAAACACTAAACTACTAACGCTATCCTGCATGGACTAAAAACACATGTCTAATTGTGATTGTGATGGGGTCTTTTAATAATTATTTATTTTACTGGAAAACATGATAAGCATAAAGAACATGATTTTACACAGAACAGACAGGAAGAAAGATAAAGTGACAGAAAAGTAGATATGTAAAGTCATACACCAAGGGCTCATTTTTTGTTGTTGTAATGGTTACAGCTACAAACGCATGCACATGTTCGCAGCAGGTGTTTATTTTAATTTCATTTAGAGGTAGCTGGTCCTTCTCTTGTTAAATAATCCAACCAAAGGAAACAAAGGCACACAGAAGGTTGGAGCAGGTGATTCCAGCACCAGCACAGACCACTCAAAAACAGCAAACTGAATGGGCAGATCAGAGAATCCACAAGCAATATGGCAATATAATTTTTACAATGCATGAAGAAAATGACAGTACTGCTAATTATGTAACCTATGGATTCTGTGATCTGCCATTCAAAAGTAGAGGAAAATACATTCCAAACTTTGTACAGTTATCATGTTTATCAGTAAGATTTAACAGTGATTTCCATGTTGAACATGCCACACAGATACATTCCCTTATATTACAGGAAAGGGCTTTCATTATGTGTGGTGTGTGTTGAGATAAGTGGAGTTTGGTTGGGTTAAAAAAATAAAGCGATAGAAGACAGGCATGCTGTTTGGAGAAGAGGCTAGACAAGAAGAAATTCTAGAAGCAGAATGAAAGGGTGACTGTATAAGACAAAAGCTGTATGAACTTTTGAATATCCAATCAAAAAGTCAGCTAGTTAGTTATTAATTAAACCCCAGCAGACTAAAATATTATTATTCATCATTACATTATAAACATTCTCTGAGTGTGCCAGTCTCGTCACAGAGAGTGGTTTCTCATTGTACAGATATGTGCAGAAAAAAAGTACTAAAACATATTGATTGTTAGACCCCATGAAATCAAAATGAGATTTTGGGGAGCTTTTAGTCCATGTCTGTTAGCTTTCAAGCTAATAAAATAAAATCAAAACATTTAGCACATGCAAGCAGTATTTCTCCTCCAGGAACGAGAGCAAAGATGTTGATTCATCTTGCAGTAAACATATTCTGTCCATTCAAATGCTTTCTAAAATGAGAACGATGATTCCTCAGCAACCAACCAGCAAGTACCAAATCATGGTTAGTGACTTCACCAAAATTAAATCCAAATTACTATTTAAATAAGTTTATTTCCTAGCCAGACTTACTGTTTCAATATGAAATTTGTCATCCCAAGACATAAAACTAAACTCATCAAGCAATTTCTTGGGGTCTTAACATCCGAGACACTCAGAGAAGTGTTTGTTTTCTGTGTTAGGCCAATTGCAATGGCTTTAAACATTAACAAACACATGCAATACATCTGCAGTAAAGAAATCATCAAACAAACAGGCAATAAAAACACTCAGGACTCAGAAATAGATATATTTAAATCTACTGTAAAACTCCTGTAATTACAGAACAAATACACTGACAATATCATAGGAATAGCAGATAAGCTAATTATGCTAATGGTGAATGTGTGAAGGACTGCTTATTAACAGGAAAGCAGATGAAGACCATACCTTTTCTCCTGGCTCCCCTTTGTATCCTTGACCTGGACTTCCCTAAAAAATAAGCAAAGACATTCAGATGCAGGCATGGTTATTTTTATCCACTCTGGAGTCAGGGTTTGTTGATGCTTCACAAGCTACAATTGGAAACAGAAGGCTATAGATGTAACACATATGTAAAGAGCAAGCAGCAACCTCCCGCTCTCCCTCGTGAAGCCAATACGGAAGTAACTGAAAATGCAGTTCATCGACTCGTCTTTGGGTCTGGCTCGAGGAAGTCAAGATGTTCACTGAATGCAATGCTAAATTGGCCAATATTACAGCTAATAAAAAACATGTTTACAGCCTGGTACAGAAGATGGTTTTGGTGCATATAGCTAATATTACCCTTCATGACAACTGTGAGGGGGTGAATTTTTTATAACTCATCCGTTTAGTTTATATTATGTTATATTAAGTCTGCATAATTAAGGGCGTGGCCACTTGAGTGACCGCTAGGTCTTGCTGATCGCCGTCACTTCACCTCAGCTGACTCCGGCTGATTAGCCACTGAACTTGGCATAATCATTGTATTGTTGTCTTGTTTTATGTGGCTTTACACAGTCAATTGCCTTTTTGGATTATTTCCTACAATTATCAGATGATATGGCATGCTGTGTGCACTTAATTGTGCTCCATTCAAGTTGCCTCTATTTCCCAGGTGAGTGCAATTATATACTTATATACCATCTCTATAAATACATTTGTTTCATTGACTTGTTTTATTTACTTAATTTTTTTTACATTTGTTTTATTTATTGGATTTCATCAATAGCCTTGCATTTACTAACACAGACTATATTTGAAATGTTTGGACGTAATTTGCATTTTCCTCTTGTAGAAAAACATTAAAAGAACAATGTTTGGTGACTCAATGTATTACAACAGTATTTTAAAAGTCTAAACACTTCATTGATATAATGTACAACCAAGCACATGTGGTCAGAAACAAACGAGTCGCAAGTAATGAAGTATTAAGTGTTTCTCCCAAAGAAAAGCCTGTCTAAATAATAAGCTAGCAGGCATTTGTAGCTTCACTCACGCTTACTTTGCCCTTGTTTGGTATCCCCCGCTAGGTGTGATGATGCGCAAACAAAATGGCGACGGTTGGCCATGCCACTTGTAGCTTCATTTGCGCTTTCCAGAAACATATGGGTGACATCATGGATACTACGTCCACATTTTTTACAGTCTATAGTAATGAGCTATTCTCATTCTAAATTAGGTCCTCAGAAGTGAATTTACAGCTGCATACTGCCCTCTGTCTAACAGGAGGATAACATGATATTAGTATTGTTTTATGTAAACTATGATGTTTGAAAAAAAAAAATCTTGGAGATTTGAACTTACTGGAGGTCCAGGAGGACCAGGTAGACCAGGCAGACCCTGTGGAGGAAGATAAAGATTAAAATACAGTCTTCACACAGTTAACATGTCTATGTAGATAGATAGATAGATAGATAGATAGACAGACAGACAGACAGACAGACAGACAGACAGACAGACAGACAGACAGACAGACAGACAGATAGATAGATAGATAGATAGATAGATAGATAGAAGAAAGAAAGAAAGAAAGAAAGAAAGAAAGAAAGAAAGAAAGAAAGAAAGAAAGAAAGAAAGAAAGAAATACATACATCAAATCCATCAGGACCTCTGGGACCAATTGGACCTGGGTATCCCTGTGGACCTGGAGGGCCTTGGGTGAGAATATTCTAAGGATATTACAAAGAATAGTTACAAAAAAGTGATACTTGATTTTTTTTAATAATATTAAAAAATTAACAGGAAAAAAATAGTATAAAACGTGTCACAATTTTCTCTGGAAAACAATTTAAAGATGACTAAAGACTTAAATGGGAAATAAAAGCTGTCAGAGATTTTGTGTAACAAACAACCTTTATTTACATCTAATCCTATCCAATTTATTTATTAGCATATTTATTAGATTTAAAACTAAATTATTTTAGCTGTAACTATAAATCACCTTAATTTCTAAATCTCCTACACAATAATAAACAGGACATTGGCTGAATCACTGTTGCAAAGTTCATCAATTTCAGCTGTAAAGCAGCTTGAATGCAGAACAATATTAGCATTCAGCCTGGTCCAGATTCCAGGTTAATTCAGTTAATTTCATCAGCATTTTTAAAGCTGTAATATGACCTTAAAAGCAGCTCTACATATGAAAATAATCATATAATTTCGATATTATTCTTTATTTATGTTTTCAGTTTTCATCCTTAGTATCATTAGCCTACAGTCACAGAGATATCTTCTAAATATTGAATGCAGTTTAATGAGTAAGATAAATGTTGTTTGTGTGTGACACCGTTGCACTCTTTTGCCATTCAGAAGCTTAAAGGCACCAGTCTTTATTTAGAAAATGTGAAATAAATGAAGATTATTGGGATATACCTGTTTTAAAACAGGCTAAAATGTAATATATTTATATTATATCTTTAAAGAGACAAATATTGAACCTTGTGTTCTTCTAAACTTTTATGAATTTCTTTATTTTGTTGACAATAAAATGTAAAACAATACTGGAAAATACAGCCGCTGTCAATCACAGTAGGAACAAAAATGAATAAATAAATTAACAAATTAATTAATAAATAAAAAGATAAAATTGTAAACAAACAGACAAACAAACTAATAAATAAATAAAAATGGAAGTTAAATTCAGTTTTATCTAACATTCTTCAGTATATCTCCCTCTGTGTTCAACAGAAGAAAGAAACTCAAACAGGTTTAGAACAAGTGGAGGATGAGAAAATGATGGCACAATTTTCATTTTTGGGTGAACTTTCATTTTAAAGACAATCGTCCACACATGGCCCACCTAAGAAGATTTAAAACCTACAGGTAATATAAAAGATGCACGAGGTGTTGAAAATGACTGAGGGATTTTCCCAGACAGGTCTGCACTCCACACCCAGATTTACAACCGCCTCACAACACATATTATTAACAGGCTGGCAGTAAACGAGCTGTAGGACTGTGGATGAGTGTATGACTGTGTGTACATATAGAATGTTGTCATGTGTGATTTGACTTCATGAAGAATGGTTGCAACTTACTTGGCTGGGAATATTTAGATAGGATGGTTCTCCTTTTTGACCCTTTAGACCAGGAAATCCCTAAAAGCAAGTGAAAAAAGTGTAAATATAAAAACTGATGTGCAGTAAAACTTTACAGACATCTATTTTATAGCTGTGCAACTATAAAATCAGTAACCAAGAATTGCACTATTACATAAGCAGGCATTTGAGTTTATATTTTTGAGTTTATGATACATAAACTTTGTGTTTTTACATATTTTGAGTGAAAAACATTGATTTACCTAGAGCTAAAAGTAGTGTTCAGAACATGGGCCAAAGTTGGTAACCTTTGATTTGGCCCGCCATCCCATCTGAGAATGGTTTAGAGTCATATCAAATTTGATGTACCTTTTATTTGTTTGTCTTATTGTTAAGCTACAAAAAGGCTTTCTGAAAGTAAATGTTTCAATTTAAATGGTATAAATTAATCAGAATTAGTTTAAAATGTACAAATGAAAGAAAAAAGGGTCAATGCAGAGACTTTGGTGAGTAAATCAAGGCAAAGGCAGATTCTGCTTGCCTAGTAAATTCAGCATTGAAATCCACTGTGTTACAAATGTAATTGTCTATGTTTTTATTGTTATAAGTTATCATTTAAAAAGTTACACTGCATTAGTTAATATAATTCAAAGTAATGTTTTCTATTTATTTTTTTAATATTATAAAAAAATTATATGAATTAGTAAAGTACCCATGGCAGCTTTAATGTTATGTAGTTTGGTATATTTATCTTCAGCCCACGGCTATCAATGAGATTTGTTTTTGCCCTTTCATATGAAAAAGTTGTGACACCCCTGCTTTAGACCAACAATAACCCAGAGTTATGAGCAGTGTTTAAATCTCTAATATATGAATTTATATTGAAGAGCCCCTATTATGGATTTTTGAAAATGACCTTCCATGTAGTGTGTAATACAGCTCTACAGTCAAGTGAAATATCCAGCTAAGCCTTGAATCTGAAAGTGCACAGTGTTTAAAACTAATGCTTCATTTATAAAAGAGTCGATTCAGAGTGGTTCAAATGAATTGTGGGGGTAACGAGTCCTTAGCCGTGTCGGCGTGACATTAATATGGATCTCAAGCCCCACCCATTTGCTGCGCACGCAGACTCAGAAAAATTGAATCCCCCGGGCCCGCCCACAAACACTGTAGAAAGAAAAATAGGAAGACAAACACTATAGCAGGTCCCGGTTGAATTATGTCGCGAAGATGCTTTGCTCTGAAGTGTGAGGGAAAGTTTGTGTTGTTTTGCCTACCCAAAGATGAGGGTGTGAAGAGTCAGTGGTTCAAGTTTATTTTTGAAAAAATACCTCAGTATTATAGACCCAGCCTTGTGCTGTGTTCCCATCTTTTTTCTGATGAGTGCTTCAGCAATCTACACGCTTACAATGGGGGATTCATGTGCGGTTTGTTAAAGGAAGGATCAGAAAAGACTATTGATGTGTAGGACTTTGTCAGAGCTTTACAGGAACGTTAAAGTACAGAGTTCATGAATCAGTTTCTTCCTCCATTTCAGAAGTGTAAGTAAGTTAAGTGCGATAAAAATTGTTGCCTCCTTGTTTTCTTTAGTTTGCAAATTATGTATGGAATTGTGTTTTGTTACTTATAACCGCTTGTACTGTATCTGGTTAACTCTTTATATTCTCATACTGGATCTAAAACCACGTTGAAAACGCAGCGCGTGCTGCTTTATTTATGGATTTAAACGTGTTTGTGAGCTCACAATTTACTGCCGTTTGTCATTGCAATGGCCACCATTGGCTGTTTTTACACACATGTGGCAGTCAATGTTTAAAATAGTTCAGCTTTTGCTGCTGTGTGGATTAATACTGAATGTGTGTCAGTATAAGCTGGTGTTAATTTGCTTTGCTTTAATGCACTCCTGCAATGGGCTCGCACATACACTCCGTGCTCTGACTTCTTGCTGGGCATTTTTCTCTGTCTCATGCTGAAAGCAGTTAGCTAATCGCAACAGACTGGTTCATCACACCAACCAGCGCATAGCATTGTGCTGAGGAGGGCTTTGGGAGCAAATGAATCGCTGAGTCATATGGGAGTTGTTGTGGTAATTAGGTAAAAATAAATGCATATTATAAGACAATGAAAGTGTTTTTGACCTTGCATGCATATCAGCCTGTTGTTGGAGACCCCCAAAACCAAAGTATGATCTTTTTAATGCATAATAGGGCCTCTTTAAATAAAAACACATGTGATCCGAAAACGTATTTTCCATTTTTGCTATAAAAACAGAGAAGTTAATTTCTATTTTATCATTTGAACCTGCAACTATTATTAATATTGATTATTCAGAAATGTTCTTCAAATGCAAACATAGCCTATAACTTACAGGAGAACCAGGAATACCAGAATACCCATCAAGGCCGCTGTAACCAGTGTCCCCTTGTGTGCCATTACACCCATCCAGACCTGGAGGCCCCCTGGGCCCCTCCTGACCAGGGTGTCCCTGTAAAACACGTTGAAAAAAAGCTTAATTAATAATTTTCAGAGAAGAGTGAAACTACATTAAGACAGTTAATGTAGTTCTATACTAATGTAGTTGTATATATATATATATATATATATATATATATATATATATATATATATATAAAACAGTATATAAAACAGTTATATACTTACAGGAACACCATCATTACCGGGATAACCAGGAACACCCATTGGACCCTGTCAGAAAATATGTAAAACACATGAAAAGGCCTTTTCTAGTATTATATGTGCATCACACTGATTCCTGTATTTGGATCTAACATGCATGTGCAAACGTAAACATTCCATTACATTCTGTCATTTTTCAGTAAATAAAAAATGAAATCTGCAATAGAAGTCCACACATGTGCCACAGTAAGCTGACCTTATCTCCATTTTGTCCAGGAGGACCTTTACGTCCTATATGGCCCTGCTCTGCTTTTGGCCCAACTGGTCCCGGGCCCCCATAGAAACCCTCAGGACCACCGCTGCCCACTGGTCCAAGTTCTCCTGGTTGCCCCTAGATGGTGAGAAAGATAGATAGAAGGTATCAATGAGTCACTTTTTAATACAGTTTATAAAACAGCATCTGTGAAATAAAACACAAAAATCTAAATAAAGCACAAATCCTTTAAAAAAAAAGATTAGATTTTATCTTAAACTTCTTGTCCAACATTGCAGATATTTGTCTTGATCTGACTCAGTTTGAGAGTTCTTAGGTAAAATCAGATTAAATTGATGCATGAAAAAAAACAAAGTTACATAATCTGTAATATTTATTTTGTCTTTTTATTTATTAATTTTCTTTAATAATTTATATAAAATTATTATTTTCATCAAGGCGGCATTTATTAATTATAAAAAAAGTTAAATGTTTATTTTATTTACTTATTGTATGCAGTTTAGGGCTGCATGGTGGCGCAGTGGGTAGCACGTTCGTCTCACAGCAAGAAGATCACTGGTTCGAGCCCCGGCTGGGTCAGTTGGCATTTCTGTGTGGAGTTTGCATATTCTCACCGTGTTGGGTTTCCTCCGGGTGCTCCGGCTTTCCCCACAATCCAAAGACATGCGCTATAGATGAATTGGGTAGGCTAAATTGTCTATAGTGTATGAGTGTGTATGGATGCTTCCCAGTGATGAGTTACAACTGGAAGGGCATTCGCTGCGTAAAACATATACTGGATTAGTCGGCGATTCATTCCACTGTGGCGACACCAGGAACTAAGCCGAAAAGAAAGTGAATGAGTGAATGTATGTAGTTTGAAATGAAATTTTTACATCAGTCATTACTGCTTTTATTACTATAACTATTAATAATAATAATAATAATAATAATAACAACAATAGCAATAATAATTAATAATCGAGTGATTTCTGAAGGATCATGTGTCTCTGAAGACTGGAGTAATGAAGCTGAAAATTCATCTTTAAATCACTGGAATAAATGATTTAAGTAAATGATAATCTACTTTTGAACATAATTGTTATTTTATTGTGCAATAACATTTCACAATTTGTACTGTATTTTTGATTAAATAAATGCAGCCTTGGTGAGCAGGAGAAGCTTATTTTAAAACATTTAAAAATCCTACTGACCCCAATCTTTGGACTGATGCATGTGTGGACTGCATGTGTGTGTTTGACTGTCAGATTCACTGGTAATACTCAATACTGACCAAAAGGTGGCAACACAGTCCAGCATTTTAACTGGAGGCAGCTGATACTCTGTACAAGTACAGAATTACTGATTTCTTGTAACAAGCAAAGGGTGAGTAACTGATGACAGAAATGTCATTTTTGGGAGAATGATCCCTTTAAGATGGTTACCCAGTTTTAAATTTGTTATGTTGTCCACACTCATTGATGGAATTTAAGATCGGTTTGAAGTGCTGTTTGCTTTTAAAGAAATGTGATTTCTTCAAATCTGTGATCATTTGATCTCATCAGCCCACGTCTGCATTAAAGTTATGTAATAACATAGAAACATATATGGAATAATGTATGAAGTAACATCTGGAGACATCAGTATAAAGCTTGTGCTCAGTTATAGCTCATCTTTATGCAGGTATAATCATTTTACATGCTTGTTATTTTTGCAGAGAACTGCAAAAGGTGGCAACTGTGATACAACACGTCATATCCACACTACAGGCTTTTATACCATCAGCTAAACACACTCTTACAAGCTTTAATTCTGTCATTTATCTCTGCTCTGGCAGCATTTCATATTTATTGACATTTACACTAATTTTAGCCAATGCATTGTGTATAAAATAATACATATCTATAAAACAACAAACAAGAAAAACACTTTTTGCTTTGTTTGTTGTTGTTTTTAACAATAATTTACTTGAGCAACACTGTTCAACTGTTAATTAACTGATATTTGTTACAATGAACTTACTTCAAAATGCCAGTACAGGTTTATCAGACCAGTTTGAGACTTGTTGTTCTCTTGAACATATAAGATCCCTAATCTGATTTCACCAAGTATGTCCCTGGATTAACATCTGCATTGATAATGGAAACCATTTCCAATCAGCCATTCAAAATTAAGGGATACATTTACAGTTTAAGTTAAATGTGTTAAGTTTAGGCTTACAGTAGGTTTACGCACATCTACATGATAGTTATCCAACTATTATTCCCCTCTGATTTTGGGAATAATTTGTTAGAGTTATGGTTGGGTTTTAGGTGGGGTAGGGAATAGATATGGATTACATTTTCCAACAAAAATGATGTTCCAGGATCAACACAGATGTTAATTAAAGATTGCATCGTATCATCATGTGCTAAGAAGATTATTTGAAGAATAGTGGAAATGGTATAATCATTGACTTCCATAGTATTTGATGTTCTATCAAAGTCCCTTTAAGGCAAGTCATTTCACTCGGCGGCCATCTTTGAAACGCCTCTCAAGCAGTATGCTCAGGCATTCTGTTTGAATGGGAAAACATCAAATTCTCCAAAACTACTTGCCAAGCTCAAATACTTTTCATAGTTTGAATAACCAATAAAATTAAACAACAACTGTTTATTTAGTTTCATTTCTAAATGTTCGTTTCAAACAATATCTTCAGAAACTCACGTCTGGTCCGAGCACCTCCCTTCGAGAGTTGTCATTCTATAGTGATTTTATTGGCTTCTGTACTAGAAGGCAAGCTTTAATCGCCATATAGTGATTGCTGATTGGCTTCTGTAATAGAAGGTGGGGCTTCAATCACCATCATGACAGCTACACTTTTCCCCATTCAAAAAGATACGAGTGACATGTCTTGTGTATTCTTTGGCTCTATGAATGTCAAAGCTACTGGTTTTCAACATTCTTCAGTATAACTTTGTTTGTACCGTATATAATACACAACAACAGAATTCATACTAGTTTGGAGCAAGTAAATGGGTGAGTAAATGTTGACAAAAGTTTCATTTTTGTGTGAACTAACCCTTTAATTGGATTGCATTCATAACAATAAAAAACCTGTGTGCATTTTACTCTATTAGTATTCATCCATGGGCCAAAACTGTTCTTTTTATTTGTCAAAGGAATATATACAGCAAAATAAATACAAAGAATACATAAAAAGACAGTAGAAAAATGTTTCAAAGCAACTAGGATAGCTGCAAGGTTTTGTTTTATGAAGGAAGTTCTTCTTAAAGATTAAATATGGTTTCATTTTATCCTTCAAGCTATTCCTCTGACAGTGATGGAGGGGAAAGGAATGTGTAACTTCTTGCCTACACCAGCCATAAGCGGCTCAGCTTTTAATCTGAGGCTAAACTTGACGTGCAGTCTCGGTTTGAGGTTTAAACGTGGTTGGCATTGAGAAACCACCAGAAATTAGTCATGGTCTGAGTGTACTTGAGCAATACACTAGCAGTATAATGATCAAACATCTCTAGGCAGTTATTGAATGCTATCAGTCTGGTGAAAACCGTTTCTTTTTTTCTCAACACATATGTCCAATATACCCACATGATTTCAGTAGAGGACAGCCAAGCGAGAAAACAAGAAATTAACCCATTTATGGAGAGAGTTGGTTAATTGCAGGGCTAGGTGGCTTTATAAAAATGCTAAAATGTTGCAGGATGGCAACTACTTATTTGAATGAATACATGATCTTTAATATGTTAAACTAATATAACTCTCATCCATAGTAATCTGATATAAAGACCAGGAAATGAAGCTTAAATCGTACTTTCATTTTGGCTTAGATGCTCGGGGAGCTACTGAGCATCAAACAAAGCACAATAACAAGTTAGCAACTGCATAGTAATGGGCTAATAAGCACTGAAGGATTTGCACCAGAGGAACTTTTTTTTATAGTTCCTAGAACTATCAGAGGAGGTACCCACTTTTTTGTCATGTTCCAACCACAGTTATTGGGTATTAATTTACTTCGTGGAACACCATTTGGGTATGCAAAATTTGCACAATTTGTGTAAAACCCTACACAATAGGAATTAAATAATAAAGTGTATGTTAATTTAGAATGCTAATGCAATATTTCATAGGTTCCTTACAGGTGCTGAATGTAAAAAAAAAAAAAAAATGCAATATGGAAACTTGCATAAGATCTTGCGTCTTTACATCCATTTAGACGTTACGAGTAATCCTGAAGGTTGCTTTGCTTGTTGACAAATCCCTTAGACTGATTAGATTAAGATCCTGTAATAGTAATTTAACACTTACTGGGCTGTCTAGCAATGAAACAATGCACTTTGATTCCAGTCATGAATCCAAATGTACCTATTCACCTCATTCTTCACCGACAAGCGGGCGCTGCAATTTGAATCTTTTTGGCTTGAGACTTCCGGTCTCATTCACTTCCATTCATTTTTAGACATTAAAAACGACTTGTTTTGCTGTTTGATGTTGCAAACGTTCGAGGTTACTAAAGTAACCCTTCGTTCCCCGAGGAGGGGAACGGAAGCACTATAAGTGGATTTGATTTGTAAAATCCACGCATTGGGAGGATTCGGATCAGAAGCCGCTTGTCTGGAGAGTATTGAACGGGCCAATGAATGAAATTAATTGGCAGCGTAAGCTTGCGCAGGTGTGCGACATCTGCAATTATCTCAGCATATAAGCACACCTGAAGCCAGCAGACGCCATCCTTTTAAGCTGAAGAGACTTTCAAACAGCTAAGGGACAGTCATTATGGCGACGGAGTATAGTGCTTCCGTTCCCCTCCTCGGGGAACGAAGGGTTACTTTAGTAACCTCGAACGTTCCCCTTCGGGGGGAACTTCAGCACTATAAGTGGATTTGATTTGTAAAATCCACGCATTGGGAGCCCATTGAAAGCGCCATAATGACTGCACCTTACCAACACCCCCGATGAGGAGATAGTCAAGCAAGCGTGACGCACCCACATCATGGGGGGCGCGGTCCTCCAACGTGTCCCTGGCCCTAATTTATCCTACTTCAACAGAAGTTTTACGGATTTAGATATATTTTTTGGGAAGTCGTGAGCATCTAGATAATTCTAGGAAATACGACAGTACGTTGGGAAGCGTGCAA